GACTTGAAGGTCACTCTAAGGGAACCTTGCTGCCTAATATGGTTGTAGCTGTCCCAAAGGAGTGTCATTTCAAGGTGAAGGGGATGGAGGCCAGTTATGTACTGCCTTTACTAACTGGGCCTAGTGTTGCCTAAGAAAAGAGCATGCTAAGCTATGAGAGAGGAGGCTACTGAGCCAACAGCTTTTATCTCCTGGGACCTAGAAATAGGATGTATTCCAAACATAATTAAGTGTGAAAATTGCTTTGAAAATTGTAGGTTAACTTATTGAAGTAGTTTAAGTGAAAGAGGCGTATATACTCCTTTGTAAGTGCACTTTCAAAAAAAGTTATTTTGGATGGGAATTATTTTTTCATTTTCATTTTCATTTGTTGTTCATCTTTACCCTTACATTCCCAAACATCCACAGAAAAATTAAAATCTGGGTGGGCGCTGATGGTTCATGACTATAATCCTGTTACTCAAGAGGCTGAGATCTAACAATCAAGGTTCAAAGCAGCCTGGGAAGGAAGTCTATAGATGCTTAGCTCCAATTAATAACCAGCAAAAAGGCAGAAATATGTGGATCAAGTGTTAGTGTGACAGCTTTGAGCAAAAACGCTAAGCCCAAGTACCCACACCAAAAAAAAAAAAAGAAAGACCAGAAAAGCTCCTGGGGCTCATGCCTGTATTTTCAACATAGGCCTAATCTAATCACAGGAGAGATTAAAGCATGGAAATAACATGCCCCATGGCTGCTTCTGAGATGAAGCAAACTATGTACAATAGCCAGACAGCTGATTGGGATGAAGACTCCAGGAAGTACCTCCAGTGTGGAGGTTTGGGGATGTTGTAAGCACATTTCTCTTAGCCAGATTAGAGGAAATTCCAATTGAGGAAAAGGTAAGAGCTACAAGAAGGAAAAGACCACTGAAAGGTTGTCATAACAGTATTTGATCCTAGCTACTCAGGAGGCTGAGAGCTGAGGATCACCATTCAAAGCCTGCCTTTCCAATAAACCACCAGAAAATTGGAAGTGGCACTGTAGCACAAGTGGTAGAGCACTTGCCTTGAGCTGAAGAGCTCAGAGACAGGGCCTAGGCCCAGAGTTCAAGCCCCACATCCTACAGAAAACAACAAAACAACAATAACAAAAATCAGTACTTAAGCCAGGCTCTCAAACCTGTAATCCCAGCTACTCAGGATTCACAGTTGGAAGCCAGCCATCGCAGACAAATCTGAGATATTTTCATCTCCAGTGAAAAGTCAGAAGTTAAGCCCAGTGCAGTGGCTCATGCTTGTAATCCTAGCTACTCAGAAGGCTGAGATTTAAGGATGGAGGTTTAAAGCCAGCCTCTGCAGAAAGAGACTTTTATCTCCAAGTAACCACCAAAACACTGGAAGTGGAGTTATGATTCTTGTAAAAGGGAGCCAGCTTTGAGTGAAGAAGCCAGGCAAGAATATCAGTGCCCAGAGTTCAAACATGAGTTCCAAAAGTTTTCTTTCACAAGAAAGCACATGGGACAGAAGAAATCTGAAACTACCCTGCCAATACAAGGAAGGGTGTGTGTGGTGTCCTCTCCCTTCTTTACATTCGCATTGTGTGTGTGTGTGTGTGTGTGTGTGTGTGTGTGTGTGTAAGCACATGTAGTACTCATGTAGTACTTGGGTTTGAACCCAGAGCCTCATGCTCTGGATTGGCTTTTTTAACTCAAGGCTGATGCTCTGCCACTTGAGCCACAACTCCACTTCTGACTTTTTAGATGTTTAACTGGAGATTAAGAATCTCCATAGAAGCCGGGCGATGGTGGCTCACGCCTATAATCCTAGCTACTCAGGAGGCTGAGATCTGAGGATAGTGGTTCATACCAGCCTGGGCAAGAAACTCTGTGAGACTCTTATCTCCAATAAACCACTAGAAAACCAGAACTGGAGCTGTGGCTCCAGCGGTAGAGCGTTTGCCTTGAGCTGAAGAGTGCAGGGACAGCACCCAAGCCCAGAGTTCAAACCCCACAACTGACAAAAAAAAAAAAAAAAAGAATCTCCATAAACCTTGGGCTAGGAATGTGGCTTAGTGGTAAAGTGCTTGCCTAGCATCCATGGAGCCCTGGGTTTGATTTCCCAGTACCCCATAAACAGAAAAAGTGGAAGTGACTCTGTAGCTCAAGTGGTAGAGTGCTAGCCTTGAGCAAAAGAAGCTCAGGGACAGTGCCCAGATCCTGAGTTCAAGCCCCAGGACTGGCAAAAAAAAAAAAAAAAAGAATCTCCATAGACTTAATCTGCCTGGGCTGGCTCTGAACTGTGATTCTCAGGTCTCAGCCTTCCTGGATAGCTAGGATTACAGGTATAAGCCACCAGGGCTTCACTTGGTAAGATGAAAGAGATGTTTAACATTTGTATTTGTCTGCCTAGACTGTGGAACAGAATGCCATAATTGTCCCATTAAATGTATGATCTCATTCTAGCCCAGCTCTGCAGGCTGCATGCCCAGGGTCAAGGTGTCCTTGGACTTGGCTTCTGATCAGGATTTTCTTCTTGTCTTCAGGTGCTGCCTTCCTTCTGTATCTCTCTCTGGGCTTCCACACTCCTTATAAGGACAGCAGTTAAATTAGAGACCCACCCTTACAACTTCATCTGTCCGTAATTTTTACTTTTTTTTTGGGGGGGGGGGGTAGTGAGTTGGAGATAAGAGTCTCACAGAGCTGGACACTTGTGGCTCATGCCTATAATCTTAGCTACTCAGGAGGTTGAAATCTTAGGATCATGGTTCAAAGCCAGCCCAGGCAGGAAAGTCCCTGAGAATCTTATCACCAATAAACTACTCAGAAAAAGCTGAAAGTAGTGCTGGGGCTCAAGTGGTAGAACACTAGCCTTGGGCACAGAGAGGCTCAGGACAGAGCCCAGGCACTGAGTTCAAGCCCTAGGACCAGAAAAAAAAAAAAGAGTCTCATGGACTTCCCAGCCAGATTTCAACTTCAGACCTCTGTTCTCAGCCTCCTGAGTAGCTACAATTGCAGGCATGAGCCACCAGCACCCAGCAATTTTTACTTTCTTAGACTGCATTTCCCAGTAGTCTTTTTTTTTTTTGGGTCCGGTCATGGGGCCTGAACTCTGGGCCTGGGCGCTGTCCCTCAGCTCTTCAGCTCAAGGCTAGCGCTCTACCACTTGAGCCACAGCGCCACTCCCAGCTTTTTTCTTTTTGCTTATGTGGTGCTGGGGAATCGAACTCAGGGCCTCATGCATGCAAGGCAAGCGCTCTACCACTGAGCCACCTTCCCAGCCCCCCCCCCCGTAGTCTTAACAGACAAATTTGGATCCTTAACAGTAGTCACTGATAAACAATAGATAATTTTAATTTGTGATGCCATCTTTATGCATAAACTTCAGTGTCTTACTATCTTTAATTCAGATTTGTTGCATCATAAAGATTTTGCTTTTGGAAAATGTGATTTCTTATCACCCACATGATCTTCTAGTTACTTACAATGCATACATAACATTTGAGTATTTGGGTACATGAATGAACTCTCTGGTTTTGTCTTTTTTTTTTTTTGGGTCCGGTCGTGGGGCCTGAACTCTGGGCCCTGGGCATTGTCCCTCAGCTCTTCAGCTCAAGGCTAGCGCTCTACCACTTGAGTCACAGCGCCACTTCCGGCTTTTTTTTCTTTTTGCTTATGTGGTGCTGGGGAATCGAACTCAGGGCCTCATGCATGCAAGGCAAGCGCTCTACCACTTAGCCAACCTTCCCAGCCCTGGTTTTGTCTTTTTTTGAGGTACTCCATACATATAGCCTAGGTGGGCCTTAGACTCACAACTCTCTTGCCTCAGCCTCCTACCTGGCTGCCATAGTTCCTCTTCTTAAGTAACTCATAGTCCTACTAGACCTAGAAATTCAGGAGATTGCTATTTTCAAAAAAAAAAACTTGCTTGGCTGGGGAGATGGCTTAGTGGTAAAGTGCTTGCCTAGCATGCATGAAAAACTGGATTCAATTCCTTAGTACCACTTACACAGAAAAAGCCAGAAGTGGCACTGTGGCTCAAGTGGTAGAGTGCTAGCCTTGAGCAAAAGCAGCTCAGGGACAGTGCCCAGGCCCTGAGTTCAAAGCCCAGGACTGACCAAAAAACAAAACAAAAGAAAACCCAAAATCTTGTTTATAAAAGGAGAGAGAAAGAGAGAGAGAAGAGAGAGAAGCTACGTTCTAAGGTATAGGAGGCACCCACTATAAGATAAACATGTTTTATGTTTGACAAAGATGGCCTTTGTCAAATAGGCGTGGTGGGACATTGATTTGATTTTGTGCCAGTACTAGGGCTAGAACTCAGGGCCTCCCAATCTTTTTTTTTTTGTCGGTCGTGGGGCTTGAACTCTGGGCCTGGGTGCTGTCCCTCAGCTCTTCAGCTCAGGCTAGCTCTCTACCACTTGAGCCACAGCACCATTTCCGGTTTTCTCGTGGTTTCCTAGAGATGAGTTTCATGGACTTTCTTGCCCGGGCTGGCTTTGAACCTCGATCCTCAGATCTCAGCCTCCTGAGTAACTAGGATTACAGGCGTGAGCCACCGACGCCCGGCAGCCTCCCAATCTTGCTTGGCGTTTTTGGTCCAAAGCTGGTGCTGTATCACTTGAGCCACACCTCCAACTTTTGGCCGGTTAACTGGAGATAAATAAGAGTCTCTTGGGTTTGTTTTCTTGGGCTGGTTTGGAACCAGTCTTGATCTCAGTCTTCTTAGTAACGAGGATTACAGGCCTGAGCCACCCACACTCAGCTCAGTAGGCCTCTTTTACCTGCCACCCACACTTGAGACTACTGCAGTACCAAAACCCGCAGAAAACTCACCACCTAACATAAAGGAATACCGACGCCTCACTCGCGAGAACTTAGCTGATACACGCTGACATCCACCCTGAAAGGTGAGCGCAACCACAGCACTTCCCAAGAACGGTGGGCGGCTCCCGGAGCCCCCAGCAGGGGCGGTGGGCGTGGCTCCCCGGGCCCCGCCCCCTGGGTCTTCTCCGCCTGCGCGACGGAAGCGGTGGAACAGAGCTGCTACATCCGGGCGACTGGCAGCCTCCGGTTGTTTTCTTGGCTGAAGTGGGGGAAAGTGAGGCGAATCCGGCTGCCGCGACCGTGGGTCCGGATCTACTGCACCGGCCGCACGTAAGTGGCCGCGGTGGGGAGCGCTTGGACCCGGGGCTCTCCGGCGGGTTGGCGACCGCGGCGCGGGCAGCTGCACGGGCGGGCTGGACCCTTCCTGACCACTTCCTACTGCCCGCCCGGGTCCCGCGCGGGCGGGGAGAGCGCGACCCCGGCCCGGGCCGGCGGGGGCGCGGCGGGGCCGGAGGCAGGCCACCCTGCCCTCACCCCGGGACCGCGCAGGATCCCGGAGCAGCTTCGCCCCTTTGGAGCTGAACCCGCGGTCCCGAGAGGGAGAGCAGCCGGGCGGTCCTCACCGCGACTCCCGCGCCCCGCCGGCCCCCGGCCCTCCGCGGGCCCCCCGCGCCCCGCCGGCCCCCCCCCCCGCCCCGCCGGCCCCCCCCGCCCCGCCGGCCCCCCGCGCCCCGCCGGCCCCCCCCCCGCCGGCCCCCCCCCCCGCCGGCCCCCCCCCCCGCCCCGCCGGCGCCCCGCGCCCCGCCGGCCCCCGCGCCCCGCCGGCCCCCCCCCCCCGCCGGCCCCCCCCCCCGCCGGCCCCCCCCCCCGCCGGCCCCCCCCCCCGCCGGCCCCCCCCCCCCGCCCCGCCGGCGCCCCGCCGGCCCCCGCGCCCCGCCGGCCCCCCCCCGGCCCCGCCGGGCCCCCCCCCCCGTCCCGCCGGCCCTCCGCGGGCCCCCCGCGCCCCCCTCCGCCCCGCCGGCCCTCCGCGGGCCCCCCCCCCCCCGCCCCGCCGGCCCCCCGCGCCCCGCCGGCCCCCGCGCCCCGCCTGCCCCGCCGGCCCCCCGCGCCCCGCCGGCCCCCGCGCCCCGCCGGCCCCGCCGGCCCCCCGCGCCCCGCCGGCCCCCGCGCTCTGCAAGGCCCCTTGGGCTGGAGGTGGCAGCCGCCGTGCTGCGGAGGAACATGGATTCGGGCGGGGCCCGCCGTTTCTGTGCTCCCGGAGAATGGATTTTCCAAATTGAACTCGTCCAAAGGCACTTTTATACTGATGATTGTCGTACGTCTTCATACAGTTTTTAAAGGAGGTTGAAAGTAGAAGTCTTTTTGTTTTTTAAGGATGTCATGGTTTTTGGACAGCCGTAACTGCTAGCTATGAAATAGCTTTGTAGACAGACGCAGATGGTATGCATTGTCTAAGAGTGGATTTGTTCCTTTTTTCCTTTTTTTTTTTTAAATAAACAGGTCAGGCTATGTGACTCTGGCTGGACCCATCTTCCTGCCTCATCCTTTTGAATACCAGTGTGTCCAAAAACTTGTTCGATTGTTAGCAATTGATAATTCAGGCCGTGTGTGTGTGTGTGTGTGTGTGTGTGTGTGTGTGTGTGTGTGTGTGTGTTCAGGCCGTGTGTGTGTGTGTGTGTGTGTGTGTGTGTGTGTGTGTGTGTGTGTGTGATCCGAAATAGAGATGATACAGATGTTACTGCACCCCTCAGGTTGTAGGAATGTTGTTAAAGACAACTTAGTTGCTGTGGTAATGTAAATAACAGTGGACTATTTATCTTTGCTTTATTATTTATTTTTACTCCGAATGAGTATTGATCTCAGTACAGCTCTTTTGTGTTGGGGGGGGTGTTAAAAACATCTGTTAGAATGAGAACTAGAGATATTAAAATAAGACTAGTATTGTTGTTTTTGTTTTCATTTGTCAGTTGTGGGTCTTGAACTCTAGGCCTGAGCATTGTCCCCAAGCTCTTCAGCTCAAGGCAAGTGCTCTACCACTTGAGCCACAGTGCCACTTCTGGTTTTTGGGTGGTTAATTGGAGATAAGAGTCTCATGGACTTTCCTACCCAGGCTGGCTTTGAACCCTGAACCTCAGATCTCAGCCTCCTGAGTAGCTAGGATTACAGGTGTCAGCTACTGGTGTCCGGCAAGACTGGTGTTCTTTACAGAGAAATAACACCAGAGGCTGGGAATCTTGGCACAGGCTTGTTAAATCCCAGCACTGGAGTAGCCAAGGCAGTAGGATGGAGCCAAACAGGGCTACATGGCAAGACACTGTCTCAAAAGAGGACTGGAGGGGAAACACCAGAAGGCTTGTTTAAAGGAGGGAAAACTAAGGAAGTGAAAGGAAATTATGTGGAGGTGGTGGAGGCTGTGGGGCTGTGTGTGTGTGTGTGTGTGTGTGTGTGGTCAGCTGTGGGGCTGGACACTGAGCTGTGTGTGTGTGTGTGTGTGTGTGTGTGTGTGTGTGTGTGTGTGTGTGTGGTCAGCTGTGGGGCTGGACACTGAGCTCCTTAACTCAAGCCCTCTACTACTTGAGCCACAAAGCCACTTCCAGTTTTCTGGTGGTTAATCGGAGATAAGAGTCTTAGGGACTTTCTTTCCCCCAGCTGGCTTTGAACCGAGATCCTTAGATCTCAGACTCCTGAGTAGCTTGGATTACAGGCCACCAGTGCCTGGCTTTTTTTTAATGCCAGTCCTGGGGCTTTAATTTAGGGCTTGGGAGCCCCCCTTAGCTTTTTCACTCAAGCTGGTGCTCTGCTGCCTGGGCCATAGCTCTACTTTCAGTTACTTGGTAGTTAGTTGAAGACAGGATCTCATAGACTTAACTCCCTGGGCTGACTTAGAACCTGAGCCTTAGATCTCAGCTTCCTGAGCAATTAAGTAGCTAAGATTATGCCTGCCTTTTTTCTTTTCTTTCCCCCTTCCCCCTTCTCCCCCAGGACATTCTCACTTGGCTTTTTCTTTCAAGGCTGGATGCCTGCCACTTTAGGTACACTTCCACTTCTGGTGTTTCATTTTCCTTTTCTTAACCTAAGTATGAAGAAACATGCTTGTGATAAAATGTATACATTCTAGGATAAGTACTTTTCCTCTAAGTCTGTGTTTCTAACTTAGAGGCAGAGTATATCACCTCTTCTCTGTTAGTGCTCTTGGACTAGAAATACCAAAACCAAATAATAACTTAGTCTGGAATTGAAATGATGGTGAAGAGCTTTTGTGGATCAATAATCATTTCACTCAGTTATTTGAAGAACCACTTTAATAAAGCACTTGAATATATTAAAGATGACAGCTTTTAAAAGTCAACCCGTAGTTGATTTTTTTCAATATTAGATACCCATTTTTCCTAATATTATGTAAGTATACCAAGACCATCTCTTAAATTAAGAAACTTCATAGGAATCCAAATTTGGTTTTCTGGAATTATAATGTAGCAGATTCATCAAAAACTAGATCAGTATTCTGAGCTAGTTGGTGGCAACAAAACAAATCATTTGTAACTTCACTTGTATTAAATTATACCTGTACTGTTATTTTCCAGGAACTTGCTTCACAGCAAGTAAACAGAAGTTTCTGGCTTGATTTGGCTGTGCTTGTTTTATCTTGAAGTGATCCTAAAGCATGTCTGGATTTCTAGAAGGTTGGCGGTGCTCAGAATGCATTGACTGGGGGGAAAAGCGGAACACCATTGCTTCCATTGCTGCGGGGGTTCTGGTAAGTGTCGCCCTTCCTTTGGGGCTTCCTTATTTTGCCATGTCTTTTATATGCTTTGAATTCTGTATGATTTTTTTAAAAAATATATTGTTTCTCTTTTCTTTTTAACTACTGAGATTATTTTAGTAAATGTTTTGTTCATGGGGAGTTCTGTTCATCTTTTGAAATTTGGCAGATTTAGTAGGCTAGTAACTGATGGTTAAAAAAATGGCATAATAGGGCTGAGAATGTGGCTTAGTGGTAGAGTGCTTACCTAGCATGCATGAAGCCCAAGGTTCAATTCCTCAGTACCAAATAAACAGAAAAAGCTGGTAGTGGTGCTGTGGCTCAAGTGGTAGAGTGCTAGCCTTAAGCAAAAGAAGCTTAGGAACAGTGCTCAGGCCCTGAGTTCAAGCCCAGGACTGTCAAAAAAAAAAAGGCATAATATAGGATTTTATGTATTTGCTTATGATATGGATTATCTTAATTATTATAATAATAATCCAAGATTGAAAAAAATAACAGGATTGCTTTTCTCTGTAATCCTAAATTATCTTCTTGATCTCATGAGAAAAATAGCAGGAAGTTCGGTACATTGCTCAGTAGTAATTTACAAACTGGATACTAGTGGCTCACACCTGTAATCTTAGCTACTCAAGAGTCTGAGCTGCAGGGCTGGGAAGGTGGCTCAGTGGTAGAGCGCTTGCCTTGCATGCTTGAGGCCCTGGGTTTGATTCCTCAGAACCACATAAGCAAAAAGAAAAAAGCCGGAAGTGGCGCTGTGGCTCAAGTGGTAGAGCGCTAGCCTTGAGCTGAAGAGCTGAGGGACAGCGCCCAGGCCCAGAGTTCAGGCCCACGATCGGACCCCCCCCCCCCCCCAAAAAAAAAAAAAGTCTGAGCTTCAATAGCAGTCTAGGCTAATAAAGAGACCCTATCTCAAAAATGAATGAATTGAAGTAAAATCATTCTTGAAGCGATCAAAACTCTGCAGTGTAATTCATCAAAAGAAAAGAAAAAAACAGAACTACAGAGCTGTTCCTTCCTTCCTTCTTTTCTTTTCTTTTTTTCTTTTCTTTTTGTTGGTGAGTCATGGGACCTGAACTCTGGGCCTGGGTACTGTCCCTTAGCTCTTCAGCTCAGGACTAGTGCTTTGCCACTTGAGCCACAGCACTACTTCTGGCTTTTTCTGATTATGTGGTACTGAGGAATCAAATCCAGGGCCTCATGCATGCAAGGCAAGCACTCTACCACTGAGCCACCTTCCCAGCCCCCTCTTTCTCCTCTTCTCTTCTCTTCTCTTCTCTTCTCTTCTCTTCTCTTCTCTTCTCTTCTCTTCTCTTCTCTTTTCTTTCTTTTCTTTTCTTTCTCCCCTCCCTCCCTCCCTCCCTCCCTCCCTCCCTCCCTCCCTCCCTCCCTCCCTCCCTTCCTCCCTTCCTTCTGTTGGCTGTGGGGCTTGAACTCAGGACCTGGATGCTTACCCTGAGCTTTTTTGCTCAAGATTAGCACTCTTTCAGTTTGAAGCACAATGCCATTTCCGGTTTTTTTTGGTGATTAATTGGTGATAAGAGGCTCACAGACTTTCCTGCCTGGACTGGCTTCAAACTATGATCCTCAGATTTTAGCCCCCTGAGGAGCTAGGATTTACAGGCATGAGCCACCAGTGCCAAGTTCAGAGTTGTTACTTCTTAGCACCCAAAACATAAGCTACAATTCTCCCAATGACAGACAGGAGCTGTACATCCCTATAACCCCAACCCTGGTGAGGCTTAAGGAGAAGGATGGAGTTTATTTTCTATGTAAATATTTATTTTTATTCTTTTTAACATTTTTTTATTATTTTTTAAGTAGTTGTACAAAGAAGTTCCCATGCTACAAAACAGTATATGAATACAAGGTGTCTGACAACATTGTTACTCATTGTTCCTAACCTAGAGAAGGATGGAGTTTGAGTCCGGCCTGGACTGTCTCCAAAAACCAAAGAAAGAGAAGTAGGGTTATGGCTCAAATGGTAGAGTGTCAGCATTGAATGAAAAAGCTAAGGGACAGCACCCTGGCCCTGAGTTCAAGCTTCAGTACTAACATTAAAAACAAGCAAAAAACTGGGAATGTGGCTTAGTGGTAGAATGCTTACCTTACATGCATGAAGCTCTGGGTTCAATTCCTCAGTGCCAAATAAACAGAAAAGGCTAGAAGTGGTGCTGTGGCTCAAGTGGTAGAGTGCTAGCCTTGAACACAAAGAGGCTCAGGGACAGTGCACAGGCCCTGAGTTCAAGCCCCAGGACTGGCCAAAAAAAAAAAAAAAAAGGTAAGGGAAGAGTCTAGAGTCTACCAATAATAAAGTTCCTTGCATTAATTTAAAATAATTTTTTTCCCTGTTTTTCAATGGTGTCTTTCTTGAGGCCTATGACAGCACTACAGAGGGCATTTTCTGTCAGAATTTCAGTCCTTTCCTATTTTTCTTTCTTTCTCCATGAGATACTATAACATTTTTAGTTCACAAAATGAGATTCAAGACCTTATTATGATAATATAAAGTAATAGTTGAAGCAGGATTAGGGTACCTGGTATTTATTCAGCTAGTAAACCATGCAGAAATTTTGGGCATGAAACTGCTAAAACATGTGAGGAAGTTTTGAAATTCACTAGACGGGATCTCCTCACTTGGATGTCTTGCCTTTCAGTAACGTAGGTCAATGCAATCATTTCTCATGATATCACCTTTGTTTTAGTTTTTCACAGGTTGGTGGATCATAATAGATGCAGCTGTTAATTATCCCAACATGAAGGATTTCAACCATTCGTATCATGCCTGTGGTGTTATAGCCACCATAGCCTTCTTAATGTAAGTGCCATCCCTACCCCACCTACACACAGTCAAGTGCAAAAAGTGTTTTATGTACAGTTGGAAGAGTAACACTGAAAAATGATGTCAATGTATTGGACATGATTTTAATTCCTAATGGTAGAGAATAGTGATGGTCCCATTTTCTAGAATTCCTCTCATCTTTCCTCTCTCACATCTTGTCTCCCAGCTTTCCTTGGCTGTCTTGTGATTTCTGTACTGTCAGTTAGAACTTCAAACAAAAATCATGTGCTTTCTCTAAGAAAGACATGGGAAACTTTTTTCTTCCAAGGGCCTTGTAGATATTTATAATATCATTCTTGAGCCGTGCAAAATTATCACTACAAGTAGATGGCCTCAGGCAGCAAATGAGAAGCATGTGTTTATTCTGCCAGGTAGCAGATGATTTCATAGGCATATGGGCATTGTATTGCTTTCAGGCTAGAAGTTCCTTACGCCTATAGAAGGGATTCCGTGTGTGTGTGTGTGTGTGTGTGTGTGTGTGTGTGTGTGTGTGTGTGTGTGTGTGTGTGTTTTACTGGGTATTGAACGCAGGGCCTCTTGCCTATTAGGCAAGTGCTGTACCACTTGAGCTGTGTCCCCAGTTCTGAACTATTCATTCTTCCTACATATTTCTTTTTTTTTTTTGGTCCAGTCGTGAGCCTGAACTCTGGGCCTGGTCGCTGTCCCTTAGCTCTTCAGCTCAAGGTTAGCGCTCTACCACTTGAGCCACAGAGCCACTTCCGGCTTTTTTTCTTTTTGCTTATGTGGTGTTGAGGAATCAAACCCAGGGCCTCATGTATGCAAGGCAAGCACTCTACCACTGAGCTACCTTCCCAGGCCCCCAACATATTTCTTAAGTTTTTGTATTCTAGGCTCTATTCTAGGTACAGGAGACCCATGCAATTGTGGGATTTCTATTCTAGTGAGAGATGGAAACAGTGAATGAAGAATCAGATTTGTAGTGAGTTAAGAAAGGGAGCTACAAAGCCGGGTGCCGGTGGCTCACGCCTGTAATCCTAGCTACTCAGGAGGCTGAGATCTGAGGATTGTGGTTCAAAGCCAGCCTGGGCAGGGAAGTCCATGAGACTCTTATCTCCAATAAACCTCTAGAAAACTGGAAGTGGTACTGTGGCTCAAGTGGTAGAGAGCTTGCCTTGAGCTGAAGAGCACAGGACAGCGCCCAAGCCCAGAGTTCAAGCCCCAGGACCAACAAAAAATAAAAAAAAAAAAAAGGGAGCTATGAGATGGCCACAGATGGGAGAGAAATGTTCCACCCAGTCCAACAATAATACTCTTTCTGACATTCCTACTGGATATTGCTTTTATAAATTAAATTTTATTTACTTACTTATTAAGGTATTCTAATAAAACTTATTAATAATAAACTTAGAGGCCCTAAGTCCAAGCCCCACCCTGGCGCACACACATATACACATATACATACACACACACACATAATAAAATGAACCAGGAGAAACACTTTGCCATAACCCTGTAAACTCTGAAAGGATTTAATAATAAGCCAGCATATAGCTTCACATCTCTAAATAAATAAAATTTATTTGTTAGAAAGTATTTTTTTTTTGTCAGTCACGAGGCTTGAATTTAGAGCCTCGCACCATCCCTGAGCTCTTTTGCTCAAGGCTAGCACTCTACCACTTTGATCCACAGCGCCACTTCTGGTTTTCTGGTGGTTAATTGGAGATAAGAGTCTCGTGGACTTTCCTGCCTGGGATGGCTTTGAATTGTGATGCTCCATCTCAGTCTTCTGAGTAGCTAGGGTTATTGATTGGTGTGAGCCACTGGCACCTGGCTAATTAAATTACTTTTCATTTAGCTATTACTGGGGCTTCAACTAAGGACTTCTCAATTAACTTTTTTTGCTCAAGTCTAGCATTTGAGCCACATCTTCACTTTCAGCTTCTTGCTGGTTAATTGGAGAGAAGAGTCTCAAGGATTTGTCTTTGTGGGCTGCCTTTCTACATCCATCCTCAGCCTCCTGAGTAGCTAGGATTATAGGCATGCGCCATCTGCTCCCTACAGGCACAGCTTTAGAGAAAGTCCCATTAAAGGGACCTACTTAAGGTCATGCAACTGATTTCTTAAGACTCAAAACTGGAGAATCTAGCTGACTACAGCTAGTAATTTAATGTCATGTACAGGAGCTTCTTGGTATCAGAGATCCTGATTTTTTTTTTTTTTTATTCACACAGGATTAATGCAGTATCAAATGGACAAGTCCGGGGTGATAGTTACAGTGAAGGCTGTCTTGGCCAAACAGGTGAGTAGGTACAAACATCTTACTACTTGTGCTTTCTTTCTTTCTTTTTTTTTTTTTTGGGGGGGGAGGGGTTTGCTGGTACTAGACTTGAGCTCACAGTACTCTCTCCTAGCTTTTTCACTCAAGGCTGACACTCTACCACTTAAGCCACAACCCTTGCCATTTTTTTAAAAAATATTTTTCATCCTGCTGGATGACAAATGTACACCATTATATGCAGCTTTTTATTGGTTGATAAGGCCTCACAAACTTTTTGAGAGGGCTGGACTTGAACTGAGATCTTCTGATCTCAGCCTCCTAAATAACTAGGATTACAGGCATAAGACATTGCATCTGACGTTGTTTTTAATATGGTACAATACATGTAACATAAAATTTACCATCGTAACCACTCTGATATGCCATTCAGTATTAATTAGTAAGATTGTATTAAAGGGGCAGGGAAGGTGGCTCAGTGGTAGAGTGCTTGCCTTGCATGCATGAGGACCTGGGTTTGATTCCTCAGCATCACAAAAGCAGTAAAAGTTGGATGTGGTGCTGTGGCTCAAGTGGAAGAGTGCTAGCCTTGAGCTGAAGAGCTGAGGATCAGTGCCCAGGCCCAGAATTCAGGCTCCACGACCACAAAAAAAAGACTGTATTAAGTACATTCACAATGTGGTGGGCCAGTCTTCAGAATTCTTTGACCTCACAGAGCCAATTGAATCATGGTTCTGCATTTCATTGCTTGGCTGATAAAGGCCTTTCTTGCTCATCTGCGGACTCTAAGCCCCTAGACTCCATGACTGTGTGCCCAAGGTAGGCACAATACAGGGCAGATGGCACAACTTCCTTCAGTTGAAATGATGACCCTCAACATTCCATTCATATAAAAGTAAACCCAAGTAGGCAAATATCATATGCCTTTTTTTGTGTGTATGTGCCAGTACTGAGGCTTCAACGTGAGGCCTTACCCCCTCCTTTAGTGCTTTTGCTCAAGGCTGGTCCTGTACTACTTGAGCCTCCACATCTGGTGTTTTGGTAGTTTATTGGAGACAAGAGTCTCTCTTCAAATCTCTGTCCTCAGTTCTTAGCCTCTGGAGTAGCTAGGAGTATAGGGTTCAGCCAGTGGTACCCAGCCTTTTCTTTTAGAAATAGAAAAGGTTCTGGGTGCTAGTGGCTCACACCTGTAATCCTAACTACTCAAGAGGCTAAGATCTGAGGATCAGGATTCAAAACCAGTGTAGGTAGACAATTCTGTAAGACTTTCTTTTCTGTCATGGGTTTAAAAACACAGGTCTGGGCACTCTCCCTGCGCTTTCGTGTTCAAGGCTAGTGCTCTATCACTTGAGCCGCAGCTCTTTTTCTGGCTTTTTGGTGTTTAAATTGGACATGAGTCTCACGGACTTTCTTGGTTAGACTGGCCTTGACCCATGATCTTCAGATCTCAATCTTCTGAGTAGCTGTGATTACAGGCATGAGCCACCAACATCCAGCTCTGTGAGATTCTTACCTCTAGTTAACTATTAAAAAGCTGGAAGTAGACATAAGCTTAAGTGGTAGAGTACCAGCCTTGAGTAAAAAAGCCAAGCAAGAGTGAGAGGCCCCCACACTGACAGGAGAAAATACTGTTTTGTCATAATCCTGTAAACTCTGAAAGAAAGAGCATAATAATAAGCCAGTGGTAGTAGAGCTAGGACTAGAATATAACTTCACATCTGTAAATTAATGACATTTTGTTAGCTATCACAGCTTTGAGCATCTTAAGCTAACTGTATGTATTTTTATTATCACATATGTGAATAACAGTGTGTGCGTGCACGTGTGCATGCAGGTCCTTGGGCTTGAACTCAGGTCCTGGGCACTAGTGGTTCCTTAGCTTTTTTGCTCATGGCTAGCACTCTACCACTTATGCCTCAGGTCCACTATTCTAGCTTTTTTTTTTTGGTAGTTTATTGAAGTCTCATAGATATTTCTGCCTTACCTGGCTTCAAACCATGATCCTCAGATTTCAGACTTCGGAGTAGCTAGGATTACACGCGTGAGCCATTAGTGACATCATGACTTCAGTTTTTAAAACAATTTTTCAAAAGTATTATTTAAGAGTGATTTAAAGTTGATTGTCAGGGCTGAGAAGGTAGCTCAGTGGTAGAGTGCTTGCCTAGCATGCATGAGGCCCTGAGTTCGATTCCTCAGCACCACATAAGCAGAAAAAGCCAGAAGTGGCGCTGTGGCTCAAATGGTAGAGTACTAGCCTTGACCTGAAGAGCTGAGGGACAGCGCCTAGGCCCAGAGTTCAAGCCCCATGACCGGCAAAAAAAAAAAAAAAAAAGTTGATTGTCCATGTACTTCACCTTTATAACAAAAATTGAGCCGGGCGCTGGTGGCTCACGCCTGTGATCCTAGCTACTCAGGAGGCTGAGATCTGAGGATCGCGGTTCAAAGCCAGCCCGGGCAGGAGAGACCTGAGACTCTTATCTCCAATAAACCACCAGAAAACCGGAAGTGGCGCTGTAGCTCAAGTGGTGGAGCGCTCGCCTTGAGCTGAAGAGCTGAGGGACAGCGCCCAGGCCCAGAGTTCAGGCCCCACGACCGACCAAAAAAAAAAATAACAAAAATTGTTTCAGTTGATTGTCCAATCACACAGACTGAATGAATGTATGTATGCACTTAGAATAAAGTACACATACAAGCATACAGACTAAGGCAGAAGAAAAAGTCCCCCATCTCCACTGATGGCAGAACTTTAGCACATCTCCCACTGGTCTCATTTGAGACTTCAGTGTTTTTCTGCTTGGCTTTTATTCTTTGGAAATTGAGTTCCATGGACTATTGCCATATGAGAAGCGAGTCTGGTAAATTGTTCTTTCTTTTCAGGTGCTCGCATCTGGCTGTTCATTGGTTTCATGTTGGCCTTTGGATCTCTGATTGCATCTATGTGGATTCTCTTTGGAGGTTATGTTGCAAAGGGTAAGAGAAAATGCTGGTTATATTTACTTCAGTGGTATATAGGGATTTGTCTTTAAAGTTTGCCAGTTGTTATTATTTTGCTTTTATGTGTGTTTGTGAGTGGCAGGGCCTCAACTCAGGGCCTGGGGGCTATCCCTGAGTTGCTTTTGCTCAAGACTAGTGCTCTACCACTTGAGCCACAGTGCCACTTCTGGCTTTTTTTGAGTAGTGTAGTGTATTAGAGATAAGAGTCTTACAAACTTTGCTGCCTGGAGATTGTCAGACCTCAGCCTCCTGTGTAGCTAGGATTACCGGTATGAGCCACCAGCACCCAGCTTTGTTGTTTTTTCATACAGATAGGCCACTACTAGCCTGCCCCTTCTCCCCGACAGTGTTTGGTTCTGTTGTTTTATAGGCTTTTGGCATTCCTTTCTTCTTCTATTTTTCCTTCCTATCTGTAGCCTTGAAGGGCAGGGGTGGGGGTTGGGGGAGGTGGAGATACAACTGAAAATATTGCTTCTCTTTTCCTTCTAAAAATCTCAGAAGCAGAATAAATTTGTTTTTTTTCCCCAAGTTTTGACTTACAGAATAGCATCTATATTTGTGACACTTTCCTTCTTCTTTGTGTCCCAGTACCTGAGAGACAATTTAAAAGAGAGGATTTGTTTTGGCTCCAGTTTCAGAGATTTTAGTCCATGGTTGGCGGGCTCCATCTCGTGCTAGGCCATGGTGAGGCAGAGAGCATCATGGCGGGAAAGGGAAGGAGCAGAGTTGTTCATCTCATGGTGGACAGGAAGCAGAGTGGAATAACAGGCAGGGTAGAGCTAAGAGAGACCCTTCAAAGGTACCCTTGAACCTGCTTCCCCCAAGCAGGTGCCGCCTTTCACAATTCTACCACCTCCCAGTAGATTTTGAATTTGTCACTGAATTCAGACATTGATTAGTCAGAGGCCTTATGAGCAGTCAATAGTCTGTGCTAACTTCCTCATTGGCACACCCAGAGGTGTGCTTTACTAATCTCAAGTATCTCTCAAGTCAATGAAGTAACTACCACATCATACATGCTCAGCTTTAACATTCTAGAGCTGAAGACTTTTTTTTTTTTTTTTGCCATACTAGGATTTGAACCAAAGGGCTTATATAATATGCTAAGCAAGTATGCTAAGCTACATCCCAGCCCATTGTTTTTTTTGTTTTTTTGAGACAGGATCTTATGTGGTCTACTAGTCCAGGCTGGCCTAGAACTTGAGACCTTCCTGTCTCCTCACTCTTTGCATGATGGGATTAAAGGCATACAGCCCAGCTTACAGTTGAAATTTATTAAGTTAAAACCATCTCTCCTTTTTTGTGTATATACTAACACTGGAGCTGAAACTCAAGGTCTCTTGTTCTCACTGAGGTTTTGCTTTGCTCACAGCTGGCACTCTACCACTTGAGCCATGCCTCTATTTCCAGCTGTTTTGCTAATTATTTGGAGATAAGAGTCTGTAGGTTTCTCTGCTCTGACTGGCTCTGAACTGAGACTCTCAGATCTCAGCCTCCTGAGTAGCGAGGGTTGAAAGTAGGAGCCACCCATCCATACCCACTTCTCTCATCTTCTTAGAGAAAAGTTAATATTTAATTGCATCCACTATCTCAGGCCTGTCTGACATAAGCATAGGAAAAGGCATAGATTCCTGGCTAAAATTTCATCTTGAGGGACCTCAGAAAAATATGAAACCACTTAATGATGCCTACCTTGGCCTTGAACCACGATCCCCCACCATCTCCCAAGTAGCAGCATTACAGGCTTGAGCCAAAGTGCCTTGGTTAGACTTTGAATTCTGATTCCTTACCAAGTGCTGGGATTTCAGGAGTGTAACACCATGCCTGGCTAGTTGTTTTTTTTTTAATGTTTTGTTTTTATATAATAAAATACTTGCCTTTTGTCCCTCCCCTTCTATGCTATGTAGTTAGTTTTTTGTTAAATAATTTTTTTTTTTTTTTTCCGGTAGTGAGGCCTGAACTCTGGGCCTGGGCGCTGTCCCTCAGCTCTTCAGCTCAAGGCTAACGCTCTACCACTTGAGCCTCAGCCCCACTTCCGGCTTTTTCTGCTTATGTGGTGCTGTGGAATCGAACCCGGGGCCTCATGCATGCAAGGCAAGCACTCTACCACTGAGCCACCTCCCAGTCCTGTTAAATAATTTTTTACCTATGAGTTCCATTTCAACATAGTAAGGGAGGTATTGAGTGTTGGCTCTGATGTGAGAATCCTTGGTTGTAAAGAAGCCCCCAACTAAGCTCATGTGTACTCATCCAAACTCCCTCTTTATGGGGTTGCTGTCTAGGGCTAAGGTGGTTCCTGTGTGGCCAGCCCTGTTAGCCTGGGTCAGTATTGAGATGTGATCATTTAGCTCATAGTTAGCACTCTTTTGAATAAAGTGTTACTTTTAGATTAAAATTAAGAATAGCCATTGGGTGGTAATGTTTACTTACTGCGGTGGCGAGGGCCTGAACCGGTCCAGGGTGGTGCTGGTCCCACTCACACAGCTGCTCTGAGGTGAGAGGAGAGGACCGCACTCTGTTCTCCGGCCTCTCTTGGCTTCTCAGAGAATAAGTTCTCATGGTGGAAATTCAGGAGACTCTCCTTCCCCGTTCTCTCTCTTCCCCGGCCCCAGCGCCAGATAGTCCTGGGGCCACCTCTCCTGCCTAGCTGAAGCCTACCCCGTCCTTCAGGAGTGTGGGCCTGTGGAAGGTGGCACCCTCTGGCCGCCTCTGTCTAGTCCCTTAGCAGTGTGCCGTCCTGTCAGACCAGTCCACTGCCATGTCCTGCCTGCCTGCCTGCCTCTCCCATCTTGCTATAATCTGCTTTTAGCATAGCAGCTACGGGGAGGCTGTTAAAGTATGTCACCTCGTGTCACCTTTCTGCTTAAAACTCTCCAGAGGCCTTTTATCTGACTTGGAATAAATGTCAGTGACATCCAGCCTGCCCCTTTCCTTCTCTAATCTGTACTCTGGTCTCAGTTTTGCACACAGCCTCACTATAGCAGCATATACCCACCTCAGGGACTTTGCACTTGCTGTTCTGCTGGTCCTGAGAGTTCTCCACCCTCATTCACTGTCAGTTTCCTGTGAGGTCTTCCTGGCTAATGTTTGCTACACTTCCTATACCATCCTTCTTTGTTTTCTTTCCTTGCTTACTCTGCATTCTGGCTAGCTGCAAGAGGGCAGACACCTTCCCTGCTTTAATTGTAGTGTGTCCTGCATACACTATACTGTATTAACCCACAGTGTGCCTCCCATAAATACTCCTTAGATGAACAAAGGGATCTGCCATCTGCTGAGCTAACACTAAGCTCTGCCATGGGTATTACGTCACCTAATACTCACCCAACCATCGTTAGAGAAAAATCAGCTGTGCTCGTTAGGAGAGTTGACATTTGCTAGTATATTTAAAGCTAAATGTTTTGAGGTCATAAGTCTCTAAATACTACAATTATTTTTGCAGAAAAAGAAATAGTGTACCCTGGAATTGCTGTGTTTTTCCAGAATGCCTTCATCTTCTTTGGGTAAGTTGGTTTTGTATTCTTCATCCTATATATATATTTTAACAATAGCTTCTTTCATGTCTTGTACTATATTTAGTTGCTTAATTTACCCCTGTCTAATGTCCTTCCTGCATGTTATTTTCACAAAATAGGAAGAATGAGGTTGAGAAGGATATTTTTAATTCATGGATTGGTTTGTTACCAATCTTGAGCACATTAATTTTTAAAATTGCCATATCTCCTTCAGTGATAACTGTGATTCATACAGGCAAAGTTATGTAACACTGAGGATGCTGGTTCAGTGAGGATCTCTGAAGGTGGCTTTTAATGAAAGGGCCAGCTTTTAAAACCAGCTTCCTTTTAAACCTTGCTTTCTCTCTAGCTTGTAGTTCTTGATGTCCTTTGAACTTTCCAGTGAGGTTTGAGTTGTGGAGGAAAAGCTCTAGTAAGATCACAAGACCTCCACAGGTAATCTCTAATGCTTCTCTTTTCCTGGAAGCCGGCCCCTCCCCAGCCAAGCAAAGCCACTAATTCTCAGCTTTCCTCATCTCATCTCCTGAAGACATTTCTGAGGGCCAGGAATGGCTTTCTGCTGGTTTGAGTTGCTGGAAGTCTGAGGCTGGGAAGTCAGGGTTTTTTTTTTGTGTGTGTAGGGGTCTAGAGTTTCTTTTTTTGGTCTGTTATGACCCGGGCCCGGGCACTGTCCCTCAGCCTCTTCAGCTCAAGGCAAGTACTCTACACTTGAGCCACAGCTCCACTTCTGGTTTTTCTGGTGGTTAATTGGAGATAAGAGTCTCATGGACTTTGCTGCCTGGGCTGGCTTTGAACCGCGATCCTCAGATCTCAGCCTCCTGAGTAGCTAGGATTACAGGCATGAGCCACCAATGCCTGGGTGGGGAGTTTTTTTGTTTTGCCAGTACTAGTAACCAGAGCTTTGTGCTTCCAAACACTCAGCCATTTGACCTACATTCCTAGCCCTACCATGATTTTTCTTAAAGGATTTGATCTGTTGTATATGGTCTCTATATTCCTCCAAAAGAAGCAATAAAAGCTTCCTGTATCTACTGGAAGCCACTCTAGAAATTCTTTAGCTGCCCTCAGTGACAGTCTGCAGTTGGTATTCATTTGTTTCTTGTCGTCCACCACTTCATTAGAATTGTTAACACTGTACTTGAAAAATATGAAATGAGCCAGGTACCAGTGGCTCATGCCCATAATCTTAGCTACTTAGAAGTCTGAGATCTGAGAATTATGGTTGGAAACCAGCCTGGGCAAGAAAAGTCTGTGAGACTCTTATATAAAAGTAGCTGGGCACTGATGGCTCACGCCTGTAATTCTGTCGACTCAGGACTGAGATCTGAGGTCTTGGTTCAAAGCCAGCTTGTTCAGGAACATCCATGAGATTCCAGCTAACCACCAGAAAACCAGGAGTGGCACTGTGGCTCAAGTGGTAGAGCACTAACCTTGAGCTGAAGAGCTCAGAGACAGCACCCAGGCCCAGAGTTCAAGCCCAGTACCAGAACAACAACAACAAAAAAAAGTTTTAAAAAGAAAAATATAAAATCAACAAATAGCATTCCCTCGCTTATGAAAATTGAATATCTCTTACTTTCTTCCTTCCCTTTTTTTTTGAGGGGGGGTGGCATTGCTGGGATGTTAGGATTTCTTCTCAAGTGTGACACTGAATTTTTGCTTCAGGTAGGACCAGACATCTTTGGAGTTTGAGCTGCCCATAATGGCGGCTGCCGGAAGGCAGTGTGACAGGGACAGAGACAGCTGAGAGCCTCCAGGGTGGCACGGGGAGGGGACGAGCCGAGAGCAGCACCTGCTTTAATCATTCTCCAGAAAGGACTAAGCAAGCGAGCCTTGACATGAGGCTTGGTTAGTTGGTCACAGGAGGGGAGGACTAAGAGAGGACCATTCCTGATGTGATATATCAAATGCTTTTCCAGTATTAACGTCACGCCTGTGGTGCTGAGGATCAGGCAGGGTCTGGCTCGTGTGAAGCAGGTGCCCCCCCACTGAGCTATGTCCACAGCCCCTCAGATGCTTCCCACACAACCCATTCATTATCCTCCTTAGCTGGTTTCCCACTGTTCGTAAAATCTCATGTACAGTTACTTCCCCTCACTGGACTGGTCATGTGGTGTTTTTTTGTCTTATCCACAGAGGGCTGGTGTTTAAGTTCGGCCGCACTGAAGACTTGTGGCAATGAGGACCTGGATATCTGGTGGCGCAGTCTGGCACAGGGCTTTTTCCTGCTCACCGCAGTTTTTCTATTGCCATTTTCTAAACTGGTTCCTGAGTGTCAGCTTAGGGATGCAATGCTAAATCATGACAGCTTCCTCCGTAAGCAGCAGCAGCACAGTCTATCCTGGGGTGCATCTGGTCAGCCTCAGTAATGCTAAAAGACCGTGCACACCAGTAGCCTGTCAACTTTTATCATGGTGTACTTTGTAAAAATAAAGGAAATTATGAAAGGAATAGTGGCCCTGTTAGTGTGTTCATCCAATCTTTGCAGAGCTTTGCGTACCAAAAATTAAATACATCCATTAACAGGGCCTCTTCAGTGTCAGATGGAAAATATAAGCATTCCTTAGAAGTCTTTCTTATTCTCTGTATTCACTTTATTAGTTTAACCCAAAATCCTGTAAAGTGTTCAACAAAAGTAGCATCTAAAGATTTTCCAAAAGGGGTGTGAACATGCCAGAAGAGAGAAGCTGGTACCCGGACCTTGCCTCCTCCGGCTCTTCTTTTCCTTTTTTTTTTTTTTTTTCTTTTCTTTTTTTAAAATCAGTGTATTAAGGAATGTTCTTAGGAAGGCATTTGATTTGTTATTTCAAAAAGTTATCCTAGCTAATCCTAGCTACTTAAGAGGATGAGATATAAGGATCATAGCTTGAAGCCAGCCTAGGCAGGAAAGTCCATGAATCGTATCCCCAGTTAGCGAGCAAAAAGCTTGAATAGAGGTGTGGCCCAAGTGGTAGAGTACCAGCCTTGAGTGAAAGAAAAAAAAAAAAACAAACGAGAGGCCCTGAATTCAAGTTCCAGTACTGGCACATAATAAAAAGTTCTTTTTCATGCTGATCATTAAAAACAATGTAAGAGAACATGGAATTTCAAGATTCTTTCTGTGGTATTTTGATTGTATAGTCATTTTTGCAATGCTAGAATCAATTCTGTGAAGAAAAATCTCTTCTATGCTTCTTTTCAAAGACAGGTGGAGGGTTTTTTAAGCCAGTTTTTTCTGCTCATTCTAGTGTGAGAGCCACTATTTTTGTCATCAGAAGCTACAATTTTCATTGTGTCCAGTTCAGTAAGTTGTTGCCTCTTTTTTTTTTTTTTTTGGTCGGTCATGGGGCTTGAATTCTAGGCCTGGGCACTGTCCCTCAGCTCTTAGCTCAAGGCGAGCACTCTACCACTTGAGCTACAGCGCCAGGATTACAGGCGTGAGCCCCCGGGGCCGGGCTTAAGTTGTTGCCTCTTTGAGTTCATTATTATTTTTGTTTTTTGTTCTTTTTTTTGGGTCCAGTCGTGGGGCCTGAACTCTGGGCCTGGGCGCTGTCCCTCAGCTCTTCAGCTCAAGGCTAGCGCTCTACCACTTGAGCCACAGCGCCACTTCCGGCTTTTTTCTTTTTGCTTATGTGGTGCTGAGGAATCGAACCCAAGGCCTCAGGCATGCAAGGCAAGTGCTCTACCACTGAGCCACCTTCCCAGCATGAACTGCATTGCTAAGGCACTGATGCCTCCTCTGGGGAAGGAAGGTGCTTTCTACCAGGAAGTGCCTGGCAGGAGGGACTCCCTTACCCACCATCACTCCAGAAACTGCAGTGGGCCCTACCTCCAAGGTCCTGTGTGGGATCTTTTCTGTTGTATTGTTGATTCAGGAAGAAAAAGGTGTCCCTCAGCCATGACGCAGGGTCCTGGGGGAACGTGACAGTTCACAGTCACAGTGAAAGAACAAGTACTTGACACCTCTTCTGTCAGGTGACAGTGTCCTAGGACTTGACACCTCATCTCTTGTAATACTAGACTGTTCTCTGTGTTTCATTTTATCTCTGAACTGAAAACTAAGCTCTGAGGACCAGCAAGGCTAATTATAACTACAAACTTTAAGCTGCCAGGAACTCCCAAGTCTGTTCCTCACTGGAGGGAACCTGTTGTTGCTCTAGGCTTCATACCTAGTGAAACAGGGCCTGTGCTCTTCAGAACTAAGACCTGCTGTCTGCCCAAAGCATGCTGGGATTGGCTTTCCATGAAACATTCTCTTAGATGCTTTAAACATGTGAGAGTCCACATCAGCCGTTGTTACTGGCCCAGCTGTAGGTTTGAATATTGCCTGGCCATCAGAACACTGTTCAGCTGGCTGGTGAACCTTCTGCATGCACGCTCGAGTGTGGATGTTGGGTGGGGGCTCAGAAGTCTGTTTTCTCTCTATACATGAGAGTACCCAGACTGGGGACCTAAGATCAGAGAACTGTTCTGGTTTGGGGGTTTCATGTTTTAGTGCCATTCTTGGAATGTGAACCCTTGGCTTGGGCACTGACTTGGAGATTTTTTTGCACAAGGCTGGCACTCTACCACTTGAGCCACAGCTCCATATCCAGCTGGCTTTGAACTGTGATCCTCAGATCTCAGCCTCCTGAGTAGCTAGGATGATAGGCATGAGTTACACTGCCCAATGAGAACTGGGATTATTTTCTTAACCCTGAGACAGTGTATCTCCTCCCACAATCAACCCCTACCTCTTTCCCACATATGCTCAGGGAAAGCCAAGGATCTTGTGGAACTGCTAGATGAAAGTGTATCTGCAGGGACCAGAGATAGGTGAATTCTTAACTCCCCTAGTTTAGTTGTTTTGTTGTTGTTTTTTTGTCAGTCATGGGGCTTGAACTCTGGGCCTGGGTGCTGTCTCTCAGCTCTTCAGCTCAAGGCAAGCGCTGTACCACTTTAGCCACAGCGCCACTTCCAGATTTCTGGTGGTTTATTAGAGATAAGAGTCTCATAGACTTTCCTGCCTGGGCTGGCTTTGAACGGTGATCCTCGGATCTCAGCCCCCTGAGTAGTTAGGATTACAGATGTGAGCCACCAGCGCCCAGTGCACTCCCCTAGTTTATATTGTCTGTTCTCAGACTGTAGATAAGAGTTAACTGGATAGCACACTTCATTAAGGATGAGAGAGTCTAACAATGGTCAATAGAATTCAACCAAAACTTTAATTATGTGTTTGCAATAAAACTATATATAGCATCATGCTTAATGAAACTAAAGGTATTATTTAAAACTATTAATAAATGACCACTTAGACAAGCAAATTTCCAGTCTATTCATTACCATCAAATTTATCTCAGACCTCCTCTCATTGTACAGAGGAGCCTTCGTTATAATGAGCGTTTGTCACATACAAGAGAGGCAGCAGGAAGGAGAGGGTCTTGTTGGGGTAGGTCAGTCCGGCCTGTTATTCTTGGATGCTTTTGTTTAAAGTCCAACAGCCAAGTGAGGGAACTGTAAAAGCAAAGCAAGCATGTTCATTACAGATGAACTCTTAATTGTTTATACGTTGTGTTCCTGCTGATTCTGGCTTGATCTCTTAAAACTGACCCTAACTGGGGAGGAGGAAGACACATGGAGAGGAAGTGTAGACTAGTACAGTCATTATAGTTAATGTCCACATGTGAAAGTGAAACCTCATGGTTTGAGGGGATGGGAAGGGTTGGGAGAGTTGGGGAAGAAGGATAGGAAGGGTGAGATTGATCAAGATGTACTCATAATCTGACTTGTTGAATTAAAACCCTTTTGTGCAACTACTTAATAAAAAAAGATATACTTAGAAACTAATTTGTTGGATTGAAACTCCAGTGTATGACTACTTAAAGATAGTAAATTTTGGGGGCAGGGAATGTGGTTTAGTGGCCTAGCATACATGAGGCCCTGGGTTCAAGTCTTTGCTACTACATAAACAATAAATACAATTAATAAAAGGAAAAAAAATTGGGGGAGGGGAAGATTAGTTGTGGTCTTGAACTCGGCTTGGGAGCAGTCCCCGAGTTCTTCAGCTCAAGGTAAGTGTTCTACCACTTGAGCCACAGCACCACTTCCAATTTTCTGATGGTTACTTGGAGGTAAGAGTCTCATGGGTGTTCTTGGCCAGGCCGGCTTTGAACCACGATCCTCAGATCTGTTTCCTGAATAGCTAGGATTTACAGGTGTGAGCCACAGGCGCCCAGCAGGAAAAAAAAAATTTTTTAATTGAAAGGTAATAAAAATTAAATAAAAAATTGTGCTGGTTTTAGGGCTTGAAGTAATGGTCTGGGTGCTGACCCTGAGCTGTTTTTGCTCAAGGCTGGTGCTGCACAACTTGAGCCACAGTTCTACTTCCAGCTTTTTGGTAGTTTATTGTTGATAAAAGTCTTAGGGAGTTTCCTGCTCAGGCTAGTTTCAAAATGTGATCCTGAATAGCTAGGGTTATAGGCATGAGCCACCAGTACCCTGCATAAATTAAAAAAATTTAAAAACCTTACCCTAACCTAAATGTCTCATCACAAAGACCTAAGTCTAAATTAGAAGAGCTCTTAGCTCTTACTTTATTTAGGCCTTTACATGATTCTTTGATAGTCATCTGGCTTTTGTTCGAATATCCCCACTAACAGGGGCTGACTACTGCCATATGAAGTAGCTTGATCCCTTTTGCAACAATTTAATGTTGTTAGAAATGGATATTTCATCTTCACCAGGCCTAGTAGAAGAATTGTGTGAAGGGTGTGTGTGTGTGTGTGTGTGTGTGTGTGTGTGTGTGTGTGTGTGTGTGTGTGTGTGTGTGTGTGTGTGTGTGTGTGTGTGTGTGTGTGTGTGTGTGTGTATTTCTCCTCTACAATGTCCCAGTGTTTAATGCATTAGAAAATGGAAGTGGAACGGTGGCTCAAGTGGTACAGAACCAGCCTTGAGTGGAAAAAGCCAAGTGAGAGTATGAAGCCCTGAGTTCAAGTCCCCTTATGAGCGTAGACAGACAGACAGACAGAAAGAAGGTTGCCCTTAAAAAACACTTGCTGGATGCCAGTGATTCGTACTTGTAATCCTAACTACTCAGGAGGCTGAGATCTGAAAATTGTAGTTCGAAGCCAGCCCAAGCAGGGAATTCCATGAGACTCATCTCCAATTAACCACCAAAAAGGAAAGAAGTGGAGCTGTGGCTGCATTTGTAGAGCACTAGCCTTAAGCAAAAAAACTCAGGGCTCACCTAGCCCCTTAGTTCACGCCCCAAGACGAAAGCACACACAAGCATGCACTTGAATTTGGTGTATTGTACTCATTATTTTTGCTCAAGGAGGTGCTCTACCACTTGGTCCACACCTCATTTTTTTAAAGTGTTGTGTAATGGCCTCCTGTGCACCACCACTGCAAGTAGGATAATCTTGGATCATAGAGTCCTAGGGCTGGAAGTCAGGGTAGCTAGCACTGAAGGTATTCTCTATGGGTCTATCCATGTACTAGCGTTTCATATACACTGACTTCTTTAAACTCCTGCAAATGCCCTGTGACATGGTTACATTGTTTGCATTTCAGAGACAGGGTGGCTGGGGCTTTGGGGGGTCAAGGATGAAAATGGTAGGATCCAGATTTGGCTCCAGACCAACATAGAACCTGGGATTCCATCTTATTTTGTAGAGATAACTGAGCTTCAGAGATGGAAGTGACCTCCCCAAGAGCTCCAGCCTGATGTTGGATGAGCTAGGATTGGAACTCAAATCCACCAGGAAGCATTGTTGACTCCTTGCAAGACTGGTGGTGGAACCCAGGCCTTGCATGTGTGAGGTATGCTCTGGCCTGGCTCTGTTTTCTACATTTAACAGCTGGGCACTGTGGCTTATGCCTATAATCCTAGCTACTCAGGAGGCTGAGATCTGAAAATTGAAGTTGGAAGCCAGCCTAGGCAGGAACAGCGTGAGACTCTTATCTTCAATTAACCACCAGAAAACGAGAAGTGAAACTGTGGCTCAAGTGTAGAGCGCTAGCCTTCAGCTAAAGAGCTGAGGGACAGCACTCAGGCCCAAGTTCAAGCCCCACAACCAGAAAAAAAAAAAAAAAAAGTAATATAGCACTAGCCTTGAACAGAATAGCTAAAGGACAGCACATAGGCCCTGAGTTCAGGCCCCGTGATCAATGCATTAAAAAAAAGCCATCCTCATTTTGGTGGTAGAGAGACATTTGTAGGACCCTTCTGTGTGTCTAGAACATGTATGTAAAATCAGAAACAAAGTATCAATGTAAACAGGCTAGGTTTTTGGTTTTTTTTTAATGCTGCATAAAATAGCAAGAGGAACTCAACACATTTTCATGTGATTTTTGTGCCAAAATAGTAATGACTTTTATATTTCCTGGCAAGGAAATCATCAAGGAAAAAAACCCTGCAGGGGGTATAGTTAAGAGTGCACATGTGTAGCATGCACAAAGCTTGGGTTCCATTCCCAGCGCCACAGAGGGAAAAGCTGCCAATTCTTATTCAAAAGCCAATGGCTGATCTTCAACCTGTCATAGCCCTTTCAGAATACATCTTTCTGCTTACTCCTGTGGTCCTGATGAAGGGTAAAAATTTTGGTTTATTGCATCATTTCTCCACTCCAGCCTTGGTAGCTTTCAGTAGCTTATAGGATGAAATTCAAGCCACTTATAAACCTAGCTACTCAGGAGGCTGAGATCTGAGGATCAAGGTTTGAAGCCAGCCTGAGCAAGAAACTTTGTGAGACTCTTACCTTCAATTATTCACCAAAAAGCTGGAATGGAAGTGTGGTTCAGATGGTGGAGTACAGGACTTGAGTGAAAAAGCGAAGGGACGGTGCCCAAACCATGAGTTTAAGCCCCAGTACAGGTGTGCGCACATGAATGTCCAAATTCAAGCAGTTTTAGTCACCTGTCAGCATGCCCACCCACAAACTCTACAAAGCCAGGTTGCTTTGTGTTTCTTGTGGACTTTCCCACGGACTTTCCCTTGCCTGGAGTGACTTTCACTTCATGCTACTTCACCCAAGCTGGCACAACTCCCAGGTTCCTTCCCAATGACCTCACAACCCAAGATCTCGCCTTCCCTTCCCCTTCCACCAGCAGCTGCCAGGATCACTTCATAGGCAGACCTGAGCACACACAAGACCTAGTCCTCCCAGACTGGTCCTCAAACCCTGCTTTCTCTGTCCTCAATATGACCCTCTGAACAGGGGCTTACACACAACAGACTTGCAGAAAGAGTCCCTGGCTTGACTTCACAAAAGCTAATTGGAGAATTAATTTTAAAAAGAAGATGTCAGTGGGCTGGGAGCCAGTGGCTCACTCCTGTAATCCTAGCTACTCAGGATCTGGGCTCTGCCCCGCCCAAGACAGGGCCAGTCACAGAGAAGGGACTGGCAGAGCTGGCTTCATTTTTTTACTTTATGCAAATGAAGCATGTGTTGTAGTACTGAGCTATTTTCCATGTCCCTTCCAGCCCCAGCTGCCTGATTCCTTGAAGTGTAATAAGGCTATTCAAGAACGCTGTGATGCTTAAGAGGTCTTGTATGGTTTACCATAAACAAGACAAAACAAAATGAAAGAACTCAGCATTGGTGGCTCACAGTTGTAATTCCAGGCACTCAGGAGGTTGAGATCTGAGGATCACGGTTCAGGAAAGCCAAGTTCAGGGCTGGTAGGAAAGTCTATGAGGTTTTCTTTACAGTTAACCAGCAAAAAAGCCAGAAGAGGTAGAACACCAGCCTTGACCAAAAAAAGCTAAGGGACAGTGTCCAGGCCATGAATTCAAGCCCCAGAACTAGCGCGTGCACGCGTGCGCATGCACACACACACACACACACACACACACACACACACACACACACACACACACACACACACACATTATCCCTGGATGGGTTGGCTTTGCAAGTTTTTGAATTGTGCTTTATTTTTTCTTACTTTTCTTTTCTTTCTTTCTTCTTCTTTTTTTTTTTTAGCCACACTCCATTTCTGGCTTTATGCTGGTTAACTGGAGATAAGAGTCTCATGGACTATTCTTCCTGAGCTGGCTTCAAACTCTGATTCTCAGATCTCAGCCTTCTGAGTAGTAGGATTATAGGCATGAGCCAATGGTGCCTGACGATCATATTGACAGGTTAAATTATCTTACCTCCCAGAAAGTTTGGTCATCAAAATACTTAGTCTCATGAGGTGCTCTCCATATTTTCAGATTTAGGATCAAGCCTGAAACAAATGATAATTAAATCTTAAAACACTTGGAGCACAGTATTTATTATCTCAAGTTTAATAAAATTATTGTAGGTAGACCACAGTATCTTAACAGAAATCCCCTTTCTTCCATAATCAGGAGACAGGCAAATGGAAGTGCTAAGATTCCTGAATCCTGTGTGTGTGTGTGTGTGTGTGTGTGTGTGTGTGTTGGTCCTGGGGCTTGAACTCACGGCCTGGTCACTGCCCCTTAGCTTTTTCACTCCAGGCTGGTGCTCTACTACTTGAGCCACAGCTCCATTTCCAGCTTTTGGCTGGTTAACTGGAGATAAGAGTCTCACTGTCTTTCTTGCCTAGGCTGGCTTCGAATCACTATCCTCAGATCTTAGTCTCCTGTATAGCTAACAGGTGTGAGCCACTGGCAACCAACTCTTCAGACTTTTTTTTTTTTTAATGTGAAAAAGTAGCCAAAGAGTTTCTAGAATCCTTTCATTTTGCAAAGGAGCAAACAGGCCAAGAGAAGTTAAGTAATGTCCCTACTGTAACACATTTTCTTTTTGGTGGTACTGGGACTTGACTTGAGCCACACCTCCAGTCAAACAGTTTATCAGTATTCAGCATGGACCTCCTGCCTAGTGATGCAGTGTAAGACTCTGTAACCGGCAACAGACATTTGCTTGTAGATGCATGTTCTGCAGATGCATGTCTTCACCAGCCATGTTAAGCAAGATGGGCTTCCTGCTGTCAGTCACACTGCCAGAGCGTGAACATGTTCATTCTCTATCTGCATCAGCCCCTGTGCTCTCCGCTCATTCCATCCACATCAGCCCCTCAAGCCTCCATGATGTTTCCCAAACACATGCAGCATATCTTGCCTCAGGGCCTTTGCACTTGCAGTCCCCTTTTCACTCTTGCTGTAAATAAAAGCATGGCTTACACTTCTTGATTTGGATGTCTTCCCTGACTGACCCTCTAAAAGAAAACGCACCCTACCCCACTTTGACTTTATTCATAGGTTCTGGATCCTGCTTTGCTTCCAAAGCACCTGTACCATGAGTCTGTTGGCGGTCAGTATGCTCCCTGGCTAGAATGTCAGCTCTATAAGGTCAGGAAGGTTGTTTTGTTTCCTGTTACATCCTCAGTCCTTGGCTTTTGGAAGGTAGTGGATAAACACTGGTTGGATAAAGTAGGGAGTTCTCAGGAAAGAAAATGCTAATCAGAGGGGGGCTGATGTCATTTAGCTACTCAGGAGGCTGAGATCTGAGGATCTCAATTCGAAGCCAACCCAGGCAAGGTCTAATTTTCAATTAACCAGCAAAAAGTTAGAAGTGGAGCTGTGGCTCAAGTGGTAGAGTACTGGCCTTGAGCAAAAAAGTTAAGAAACAGGGGAAGGAAAAAAAAAAGTTAAGAAACAGCATCTAGGCCTTGAATTCAAATCCTAGAACCAGTGCAAACAAAAAGGGGGATGGGGTGGGGTGTAATCCAGGTAGAGTGGTTCTTGGCCTTCTGTATAAAAATGGACCCAATCACCCTCCATGGATTCAAGAACTACAGCAATGTCACTTAGCCCCACTTAGACCTCGAGAGATGTCTACCCCTTCCCTGTCCTCAGAGGCCACGTCAGCCGCAGGTAACCCCTGGGAGCATTTCCAGTGGTGAAATGATGTGATTCTCTGCTTTTCTTTTTTAAAACCATCAAGATTTAAGCTCTCAGCTAGAGCTGAGGGACAAAGATGGCCACATATACAAGCAGCCTGGGCAGGAGGCACGGCTCTGGCCCTGCGTCTGGGGCACCTCTGGAAGAAGGTGGCATCATACAGACCTGTGAGGAGACCAGAAGTCATACCCATCGCCACAGCCAAGTTGAGTTGCCCTATGTGAATCAGCAACTGGTAGCCAATCCTAGAAATGGAGAAGCACAGGGTCATGCCAGGCTGCACAAGTCACTGAGACACAGAGGGCCTGTGGCATCAGTGGTGCCAGGCCAGGAGGACCATGGGGGTACTGAGTGTCCTCTCTCCAGCTGCTCTATCCCCTGCTGCAAGGAGGCTGGGAGGGTGGGAACCCCAGGACCTTCTTTGGCATGGATTTCTATGTATGTATATATAATTCTGCTTATGTGGTGCTGAGGCATGGAACCCAGGGCCTCATGCATGCAAGGCAAGCAGTCTACAACTGAGCCACCTTCCCAGCCCCATGCATATAATTCTAAGTGAACTCAGAGCTTTGTCCTTGTCACATCTCTAGTGTTTTTCATTTTAGTTCTGCTTTTCAGATAGTCCCTCACTTTTTCTGGGGCCAGCTGTGGACCATGATCCTCCTATTTCTGCCTCTCAAGTAACTGGAATTATAAGTGTGCTACCATGCTTATTTTTTTTTTGTCATACTGTATTTGAATCCTTAGACTCCATGGCTAATAAGCTAGATCAGCCACTCAGAGCTGTTGCTTACTAGCTGTGTGATCTTAGGGTCCCCGGTTACTTCATTAAACCAAGATAAAAGCTTCATTTTTCTCAGGGAAGGTGGGATACAGCTTGGCTTTTAGACCCATTTTTCCTGCATACCCTTACCCCTAGGATATACTTCCCAGTCTTACCTCTCTTTTCAAGCCAGGGCAAAAAATCAAAGTTTTTAGGAGGCCTGGGATGCTGAGTGATTTTCCCAGGCTTTGGACTATGTTTGTAAACCACTAGCCCTTTCTGAGCAGCTCCACAGGTGGGTGGGCAGCTGGTGTGCCCGTTTTGGGGAAAAAAAACAAGTATAGTAGTACATGCTTGTAATCCCAGCACCTGGGAGGCTGAGGCAGGAGGATTACATAGTTTGAGGCCAGTCTGGGCTATATAGTGAGTCCCTATCAGAAAAAAGGAAGGAAGGAAAAGAAGGAAGGAAGGAAAGAAGGAAAGAGAAAAAGGAAAGCAAACAGAAGGCCTAGCTGGGAGCCTGCAGGAGGGACCCCCCCCCCCAATTGCTGTGTGATCTCATCCAATCATTTCACATCCCTACTGATTCCTCCCCGTACAGTGTAGAAATGGTGACATCCCTATCACATGGGATTGTGGAAGGAGGGAGAAGGATCGTGCTTCACTCACACAGAACATGCATGAGGGATCATCAATCTAGAGGTCCCAGAAGCTGTATCCCTCTTCTGGATGGCACACCCCAGCCCCAGCCCTATCTTTTCCATCTCTGTCTACCTGGAATGGCCCATCCCTAGCCCCTACACAGAGCTGCCCAGCCTTTCTCACTGAGTTGGACGGGGTGTTAAGGGAGGGGCAAGCCACCTACAAGGAATGCCAGTAGGCATGATATGCCATGATCACCATGTAGGCAAAGCCTCCGAGCAGACCCGGCAAGCCGAAGGTGGCGTGCACGCCACTGGCGTCCTGAATCTCCAGCACACAGTTGAAACACACCTGGGGACAGAAGACACTCTCAGTGGATGTGCGTGTCGGACCCATATCCTCCCTCCACCCTTTGCACAAACCCTTGGCATCCAGGGCCACCAAAGAGGGGTGAATACCAAGGCTTGCCTAAAGAAGCCATCTCAATCTTTTTTTTTTTTGCCTGTCATGGGGCTTGAACTCAGGGCCTGGGCACTGTCTCTGAGCTTCTTTGGCTCAAGGCTAGTGCTCTACCACTTGAGCCACAATGCCACTACCGGCTTTTTTCTGTTTATGTGGTACTAAGAAACGGAACCCAGGGCTTCACGCATGATAGGCAAGCACTCTATCACTGAGCTACATTCCCAGCCTGCCATGTCAATCTTGAAGGTGCATTCATAAACCCAGAAAATTTGTTTAAAATGCAGATGAAGGAGGCAGGTGTGGTGGTTCGTTCCTGTAATCCCAACTACTCAGGAGGCTGAGGCAGGAAGATCAAGAGCTAGAGGGCAGCCTGAACAAAATGAACAAGATCCTAGCTCAAGAATAAAATAAAACTGAACAGTGCTGGGGGGAGGGGGAGAAAGCTGTAGTTCACGTAATAGTGCATGCTAAATTCAATCCTCAATACTGCAAAAAGAACAATCAAAGAAAGAAAGCCGAAAAGGATTGTATGTTTGTTGGTAAGGTTTGGGATTCTGCCCTTCCTTCCTTCCTTCCTTCCTTCCTTCCTTCCTTCCTTCCTTCCTTCCTTCCTTCCTTCCTTCCTTCTTGTTGGTGGTGGGTGGTGGTGGTCATGGGGCTTGAACTCAGAGCCTAGGTCCTGTCCCTGAGCTAGTTTGCTCAAGGCTAGCATTCTACCACTTTGAGTCACAATTCCACTTCTATGGGTTTTTTTTTTGTTGTTGTTGATATTTGGTTTTTTGTTTTTGCTAGTACTGGGGCTTGAACTCAGGGCCTGGGCACTGTCCCTGAGCTTCTTTTGCTTCTTTTGCTACCACTTGAGCCACACCACCACCTCTGGCTTTTTCTGTGTATGTTGTACTAAGGAATTGAACCCAGGGCTTCATGCATGCTAGGCAAGCACTCTACCACTAAGCCACATTCCCAGCCCTACTACTGGTTTTCTGATGGTTAATTGGAGATAGAAACCTCACTGACTTTCCTGCCTGGGCTGGTTTAGAATCAGGATCCTCGGATCTCAGCCTTCGAAGAAGCTGGGACTCTGCAATCCTTTTCTTTTTTGTTGGTTGTGGGGCTTGGACTCCAGGAGCCCTGTCCTGGAGCTCTTTTGCCCAAGGCTAGCACTCTACCACTTTGAGTCACAATGCCACTTCCAGTTTTCTAGTAGTTCATAGGAGATAAGAGTCTCCTGGATTTTCCTGCCCAGGTTGGCTTTGAACTGGGATCCTCAGATCCCAGCTGCCAGAGTAGCTAGGATTATAGGTGTGAGCCACCAGCCTCCAGCTTGGGACTCTGCATTTCTTTCTTTCTTTTTTGTTGGTCGTGGGTCTTGAACTCTGGGCCTGGGCACTATCCCTCAGCTCTTCCCCTCAAGGTGAGTGCTCTACTGCTTGAGCCACAGTGCCACTTCTGGTTTTCTGGTGGTTAATTGGAGATAAGAGTCTCACAGCCTTTCCTTCCCAGGCTGGCTTTGAACTGCGATCCTTAGATCTCAGCCTCCTGAGTAGCTAGGATTACAGGTGTGACACACCGGTGCCTGGCTTGGGACTCTGCATTTCTAATAAACTCTCAGGCAATATGGATGCTGTGGTCCATGGACTTCCCTTGCATTTGCATGGGTCTGTCACCATTGAACTTGATACTCTGGGTGAGGGACAGGAAGGCTGGTCTCTGCTTTGTAGGAAGCTGAACAACATCCCTAGCATCTACCTTTTACATGCCAGCAACACCCACCTATTGTGCCAACCCAGAATACCTTCAGACATTGCTGAGTATCCCACTGGGGTGCCACACATAAGTGCTAGTTCTAAACAACAAGGCTGATGAGGAAAAATCAGAAAGAACGCATGGGCCCACCATCACTGAACTCTGTCCACATCTCCCCTCAGCAGCTTGGGTCCCAGAATGGGAGATGAAGCTTCCTCAGGCTGGTTCCCTGCACAGGGCACTGACTACAGAATAAACATCCAGACTTGTTAACTGACCCAGGAGATGCTCCAGGAACCTCCCTTCTCAAGTTCAGCCCTGCCCAGGCTCCCTAATGAGCTCAGGGTTTTGGTCATAAGAACAGCTTTCTAGCCGGGCGCTGGTGGCTCACGCCTGTAATCCTAGCTACTCAGGAGGCTGAGATCTGAGGATCGCGGTTCAAAGCCAGCCCGGGCAGGAGAGACCGTGAGACTCCTATCTCCAATAAACCACCAGAAAACCAGAAGTGGCGCTGTAGCTCAAGTGGTAGAGCGCTCGCCTTGAGCTGAAGAGCTGAGGGACAGCGCCCAGGCCCAGAGTTCAAGCCCCACGACCGACAAAAAAAAAAAAAAAAAGAACAGCCTTCTAGTTTGTGGTTGGACCACATGCTCTTCCAGCACTGAGCTTGAAGCACATTTCCCACTTTTCTGTCTGGCTGCTTAGATGTCACTGTCCAGCTAAGACATGCCCTGCTCCTGGTCCTGTCCCCAGCAAGTGCAGTGATGTTCCTGTAGTAGTAGTTCTCTCACTGGGCTGCTTGTCAGTTCTCTTCTACTAAACTGTAGCTTGAGAAGCAGAATGAAGATTAAAACACAAATGAGAGTGGGCACTGGTGGCTCACACCTGTCATCCTAGCTACTCAGGGAGCTGAGATCTGAGGATCACAGTTCCAAGCCAGCCCAGACAGGAAAGTCTGGGAAACTTATCTTCAATTAAGCACCATCAAAGGCTGGAAGTGGAGCTGTGGCTCACATGGTAGATTTCTACCCTTGAGCACAAAAGCTCAAGGACAGAGGCCAGGTCCTGAGTTCAAGCCCCAGGACTGGCACAAACAAAAACATAAATGGGAATAAATGAATGAAGGATTTTTGAGTAGTGCCCCACCAGTGACTGAATCAAGGGAAGTGAGACAAGAAAGCATGGCTGTGTGGAGTAGAAGAAGAGGCAGAACTTACTTCCATTCATTCCTGTGTATATATCCTCATCCATCTTGGGTGCAAAGGTAAAGAACAAAGAAGATACAGCCTGCAGGAAAAGCATGCTGCTCTGTCTTCGGTCAAATCAAACTGATCCTTTTTTGCTGGTTAATTGGTGGAAACAATCTCTTGGGTTTGTGTATCTGGGCTGGCTTCAAACTACCATCCTCAGATCTCAGCCTCCTAAGTAGCTAAAATTACACTAGTGAGCCACCAGCACCCAAATTTACCCAGGCTTTGAAGCCCAACTTAAGAAAGAACCAACACTGTCAAATGCAGCCTCTGACACAGCACAATGGCCCACCAGACCCACAGGGTCTTACTGTTCTAAGCCAAAGCAGAGGGTGTTAGCTGTCCAATTTCTTACCGGCTGGCCCTTAGCTGCCCCAATGGAGATCAATCCAGCCATTAGGCCCAGCACCATGGAGGGCCAAGGAGAGGAAAGCAGGTAGCAGGAAGGGCCCACAGCCACGCCTCCTGCCAGCACAGCATTGTGGATATGAATCTGCAAAGAAACAGCTTGTGGGTGAAGAAATCGAGGCACAGAGAAGACACCCCCTTGCCCAGAGTGTCTCCCAAAGTTGGCAGCAAAGCAACTCTGTCATGTTCTTCCTGCTTTGCAGGTCCTCAAGCCTTCGTCTCCCACCAGCTGGGACTAAGTGACTTTCATTCATGGCTCCCTCCCCCTCACGGGCTCAGGGAGAGGTCACCCTGATGGGGAGGCAGTCACTTGTCATCCTGGCTACCACACGTGTTTGTTGGTGTGTGACCCCGGGCACTAAGATGAGTGACGTCCATATTACCTCTCCTTTGTAGAGTTTTGTTTTTTGTTTTTGTTTTTGGTCGTGAGGCCTGAACTCTGGGCCTGGGCGCTGTCCCTCAGCTCTTCAGTCAAGGCTAGCACTCTACCACTTGAGCCACAGCACCACTTCCTGTTTTTTCTGCTAATGTGGTGCTGAGGAATTGAACGCAGGGCCTCATGCATGCAAGGCAAGCACTCTACCACTGAGCCAACTTCCCAGCACCTTCTAGAATTCTTATAAAGATGTATCAGACTCTTAGCCCAGCATCTGGTATAAAACAAGAAAGATGCCCAAGAAACATATCCATTATCTTATTTTTCCAGTCCTGGGGCTTGAACTCAGAACCTGGGTACTGTGAAATTCTTTTGCTCAAGGCTAGCACTCTGTCACTTGGGCCACAGCACCACTTCTGGCTTTTTCTGAGTAGTTTGTTGGCGAGAAGAGTCTCACAGTTTTCCTGCCTCAGCTGACTTCGAATCTCAGCCTCCTGAGTAGCTAGGATTACAGGTGTGAGCCACTGGTCCTAGCATCCGTTTTATTCTTACCAGCTTCCCTTGCCTAGCCCACCTGTGTGACTGGACCTTGATTAATAAACAGGTCTTGCTGCTAGTCCATGTGGTCCTTTTATTCCTTTAGACCTAGAGGGGTCCTTGCTAATTTGCATCTTCAATCCCTGGAAACCTGGGTCCTAGGCTCAGCTTCTGGGCTTTTCTGTCCTAATACTTACTCCTGCCTCCCTGGAGGACCACACCTTGTCCTGGGGTTTGAACTCAGGGCCTAGGCACTGTACCATAGCTTTTTTTTTTTTGGCTCACCGCTGACACTCTGCCATTTGAGCCACAGCTCTACTTCTGGTTTTTCGGTGTAACCACAAATAAGAGATAAGAATCTCCAGACTTTGCTGCCTGGGCTGGCTTTGAACTGTAATCTTCAGAACTCAGACATCTGAGTAGCTCGGATTACAGCATGAGCTACTGGTGCCTGGCATGAATTGCGTTCTTCAAATTGCTTGGGGAAAGAGGAGAGGTTGACAAGTTCTACTCTATTGTATTGACTCTTGATCTGACTCCAGATGAATTTCCATCTCTCTTCAGAGAGCCTGTGACCATTTGAAAACTGCCTAAGTACTAGTGGCCATTTGAGTACCCATCACATCTTTTCCATACTCCCTGACATCACAGACAAGGAAGGCCCAACCCACATGATCTTCCCCTCCTCTATGGGGCTGACGGGTAGGGGGTGAGTATGTACGTGTGTAGTAGGCCTGGAGCACCCAAAGGCTGCCCCCTCCTTACCAAGTTGATCTTCCCTTGGGGATGAGCCAGGGCTGACGCAGCGGTGGCTGTCACCGTGCTGGCTGCAAGGGCATAGTAGGTGTTGAACACGGCGTTCTTCCTTTCACTGAGACTAGATAGCAGAGCCGAGTTGAAACTTGGCCAGAAAATCCACAAGAAGAGAGTACCTGGGAACCAGAGAGGGTCACAGGCCAAAACCACACTCTTGCTCCCCAGTCCCAAGCCCCCCGAAGCTTCAGCAGAAGAGAGGGCTGGAGCTAGCAGGTGTCGGCGGGGTCACTGGGCAGCTGCATCACCCCGGGCACATTGTGTCTCAGGTTGGTAGGGGACAGCCAACATAGTCCTTAGGCGAGGGAAGTAAGCAGCAGGCCAACTCTCCAAACCCCCCATCTGTGATTTGGGCCCATGTCCTGATTCTCATTCACCCGCTGTGGGACTCACTGCCGGATTTCCTCTAAGCCTCTCCCAGCTGTCCAAGTTCATTTTTGTCAAAATGCAACACTGGGACTGCTTCTCACACCTGTCCCTGTTTACAGAAATTACTATATCCTTCCTTCCTTCCTTCCTTCCTTCCTTCCTTCCTTCCTTCCTCCTTCCCTCCTTCCCTCCCTTCTTTTTTTTTTTTCTCTCTCTCCTCACTTCTAGCTTTTGCTGGCTAATTTGAGATCAGTCTCTCTGATTTGGTTGCCCAGGCTGGTTTCAAACTGATCCTCAGATCTCGGTCTCCTGAGTAGCTAGGATTACAGATATAAACTACTGACGCCTGGCCCCCACTTTCTTTACTTGTTCAATTCCCTCCTTTCAGTTGAAGACCAAAGGACTGGATAAACTTATTTTAACTCAAAGATGTTGAGCTTCTCTTCTCCACTGGATGTTAGTGAAGGGCGGTGCCTAGAAGCACAGGGTTATTCAAAGCTATGATCTCCAAAACATTACTGGAATCCATGGGTGTTTATGGAAAAGGCCTCAGACGCTCAGGGTCAGGGCTCAAGGGCAGAGTTTTCAGAACCATTTGGAACCTTGCAGCTCAGCCCAATCCAGGCAGGAGACAACCACCCACCCATTGTTCTTACCCAGCATAGCAAACAGACTGGGGCTCGTGGCCATCTGAACTTTCTCTGTTTGTGCTTTCTTATCCAATCCTGAAGGCAGAGTCCTTGAGAGGCACCAGGCCACAATCAGCCCAAAGTAGGCTGCAAACACATGAATATTCATTGTGCATTCGTGGTCACCCACCAGCTACAAAAACCAGAGAGAGCAGAAAGTGTTACCATGCTCTGCCCACATATTCCTTCCAGAAAGTTCAGAGCTCTTGTAGGATTCACCACTTGAACTTGTGAGCCTAGTGTTCAGAACTATCAAGCACAGCCAGCTGAGGTATGAGGTTTGAAGCCAGCCTGAGAAATATCCTTGAGACTTTATATCCAATTAACCAGTAAAAATGCTGACTAGAGGTGTGGCTCAAATGGTAGAGCACCAGCACTGAGTAAAAAAGCGGAGCAAGAACACTTGAGGTGGTGGGCACTGGTGCCTCACCCCTGTAATCTTAGCTTCTCAGGAAGCTGAGACCTGAGGATCAAGGTCCAAAGCCAACCCCAGCAGAAAGGACTATTTTCTCCAATTAACCAGCAAAAAGCTGGAAGTATAGATGTATGGTTCAAGTGGTAGAGCATCAGTCTTGAATGAAAAGACAAACAAAGGCATAAGGACTTGAGTCAAGCCCCCAGTGCAACACCAAAAAGAGGGAAAGAGAGAAGGAAGCCAGGCATCGGTGGCTCACACCTGTCATCCTAGCTACTCAGGAGACTGAGATCGGAGGATCGAAGCACAAAGCCAGCCCAGGCAGGAAAGCCCGTGAGACTTATCTGCAGTTAACCACCAGAAAACTGGAAGTGGCGCTGTGGCTCAAGTGGTAGAGCGCTAGCCTTGAACTGAAGAGCTAAGGGATAGCGCCCAGGCCTAGAGTTCAAACCCCAGGACTGACCAAAAAAAAAAAAAAATGGAAGGAAGGAAGGTAGGAAGGGAGAGAGGGAGGGAGGAAGGGAGGGAAAAGGAAATACAAGTAAGATGTTGAGCATCTTCTTCCAGAGGGACTGCCTCTGTGGTACCCGCCAGCAAGCTGTCATCCCACCACCCACAAAAGCATTGAGGAGAAACCTCCTCTCGCAAATCCAAAGATTAATGTTTCTTGCAATTAATGTTTCTGGGCCATCAGTTTTCCTGCTCTCCTCTAGGTAATTCTAACAGGCAAATGTCACTGAGCTTAAAACAAATAAACCACCAAAATCTCCCTGGATCCCATTCTTTCTGTGCCCCTCCTAAAGCAGAATCCTTGGAAGGTGGCTTGCGCCTGCAGCTGTCACTCATTCCCATACCTGTTCCTGAGCCAGTGCAGTCAGGCTTTGTCCCCAACCTCTTCCCAAGCCTGCAAGGCCCATGCCCGGTTCACATCTCACCTCATCCATCAGCAGGATGGGCCCCGCCCACCTGATGCCCTTTTCGCTGGCTTCCAGGACTCCATCTCCTCTGAGTGTCCTGCCTCCTCCCAGCCCCACTCCTCCATCACCTTGGCTGGTTCTTCCTTGAGTTGCCATTTAAACTCCTGGTGCTGCGGGACTCAGTGGTCAGACTTCTCACATCTCTCTTTATACACAAGCAAGGGTGATCCCCTTGGGCGCCGTCGCTTCAAACACTATCATCGCTACCCTGTCGCCTCTTGCCTTCTTACCCTAGCCTGGCCTTTTTGCTAAGCTGCAGATCTGTACATTGGAAACTTGTGTCTCCACTGGACTGGTTAATATATGTCTACCCTAACACTAGACTTTGGCACATTCAAAACTGAACCCTAGGGGTGGAGATTTAGCCCAGTGGAAGAGTACTTGCCTAGCAAGGGCAAAGCCCCGAGTTTAGTCCTCAGCTCTGAATAACAAACAAACAAAAAAAAAACCAAACCCCTGAACTTTGGATTTCCCTCCCCTATTTTTTTCTACCCCAGAGCTCCCTATCTCAGAAATGGTCTCATCATCCATCCAGTGGCTGTAGATCAAAGCCCTGGCAATTTTTATGACCTATCTCTGTCACATCCAATGTGTGGTAAGTCTACCAGCAAATCCTATCACTTCTGCCTTCAAAGTGCAGCCCTATCCCAGCTGCTCCCCTCGGCCCCCCCCCCCCCCCCCGCTGTGGCGCCATGGTTGGTTGAAGTGTGGTAACTGTAGGGGCTTCCTCTCCGGCTCCCACTGCGTCTTCCCTCCAGTCTTTCCAGACCCAGCAGTCAGTGCAATTCTCTTAAAACATCATCTTTCCTCTGCTCAGAACTCCCCCAGAATAAAACTCACAGGTGCTGGGAGTAGGACCGAACTCATAGTTGAGTATGCTCATGCTCAAGGCTGGTGTTCTACTACTTGAGCCACAGCTCCACTCCTAGCTTTTTGCTGGTCAATTACAGAGAAGAGTCTCATGGACTTTTCTGCCCAGGCTGGTTTTGAACCACAATCCTCTGAGCTCAGTCTCCTGAGTAGCTAGGATTACAAAATTGAGTTACAAGCACCCAGCTTGCTTTTTAATTTTTGAGCATATGCACTATCTTGTTGAATTAATTCACTTGCTTTTCCAAACCCTATGAGGCACTGATGTTATTTATCCTCATGGTGAGGTGAAGAGACTAAACACCAAGGTGAAATTCCCAGCATGCCATGGGGGATGCTGAGGACAGAGCTGGGACAAACTCCAGTCATCTACATCACGTTCCTTCCTCCTTCCCTTCCTTTCTTCTCCCTCCCTCCCTCCCACCCCCCCCTTCCTTTCTTTTTTTGATGGTCTCAGGGTTTGAACTCTGGGCCCTGGGCACTCAAAGCAAGCGCTCTACCACTTGAGCCACAGCATCACTTCCGGTTTTCTGGTGGTTTATTGTAGATAAGAGTCTTACGGACTTTCTTGCCCGGGCTGGCTTTGAACCATGATCATCAGACCTCAGCCTCCTGAGTGGTTAGGATTACTGGCATAAGCCACCAGCACCAGACCCATACATGCCTTCTGACTAGCTCAATCCCACAGGTATTGCAGGACAAAGTTTGCTGTGTTTAAACATCCGACATAGACTACCCTTTTGCAATCCTACTTAGGCTTGCATTTATTTATTTATTTATTTATTTATATTTATTTTTATATTTTGTTTGTTGTGGGGCTTGAACTCTGGGCCTGGGCACTATCCCTCAACTCTTCAGCTCAAGGCAAGTGTTCTACTGCTTGAGCCACAGCACCACTTCGGTTTTCTAGTGGTTTATTGGAGATTAGAGTCTCCTGGACTTTCCTGCCTGGGTTGGCTTTGAACCGTGATCCTCAGATTTCAGCCTCCTGAGTAGCTAGGAATAGTAGTACAGGTGTGAGCCACCAGCGCCCAGCTGCTTTTATTTTTAAAAATCTTAAAGCATCATCAAAGGGAGGCCATGCCCTCCCCCCTGCCTTATTACCCCTCTCCCAGCTCCCCTCAGAGCTCTGTGACTCACTTCAAAGATCTGCCTGCTGATCCACATTGTGGCAACAAAAGCTGTCACCTCCACCAGAGCCATCACCATCAGCTGCACCAAGTTGGCCTTCCCCAGGACAGAGCCTGCTGAGATCAACACAGACATGGCGCTCACAGTGGCCACCCGGATCCTGGCAGAGAGAGGGAGAGCCAGGATGACCAAGGGCAAGGATGCTTCTTACTTGTTCATCTGTCTCTCCATCTACCTTCTCTGCCTGGTACCACCCAAGGCAGAGGCTACAATGTAGGGGGATGAGAAGATGAGGCCCCACCCACAGGAGGGCTGCTGCTGCAGCCTAGGGGTCCTGCCTGTGCTCTCCCAGGTTCATAGGCTCCCCTACTAACGCCACCGTGAGTTAAGGAGGTGCTTGTTCTCCAGGGCCCCTTCCAGGACCTGCCAGCTGGGATTCTGCCCAGGAATCTATTTTCTGCCCTCACTACTTGCAGATGCTCAATAGAGGGCGCTGTGTACCTACCAGCCCACCCGCCATTGGGTTGCTGCCATTCTCATCTCTCCTTTGTCTCTCCTGGCAGACTAAAAAAGCCTAACTGGGTTTGGAAGCCTGGCAAGCCACCTGTGCAATTCTTTAATCTCAACGCAGCCTGTTTCTCCACCTGTTAGAAGGCTAACCATACTTATCTTCCGGTGGTGTAGAGGGATTAGAAGGATGTTTTTCAAATCTGTATGTCTAGTGTCAAGACTGGCACAGAAGCAAGGCGCAGGTGGCTCATGCCTGTAATCCTAGCTATTCAGGAAGCTAAGACCTGGAGGATCAAAATTTGAGGCCAGCCCAGGAAGAAAAGTTCATTATAGCAGGTTGAGCTAAAAAAGAGGATGAATGTAATCAATGTAGAATTGTTTACATGTGTGAAAATAGAACAATGAAACCTGTTGGAATTGTTTTTAGGCAGAGAGGGGAGGTTGAAAGAGGTGAAATTGATTGATTGCAATTGATTGTCATTGATTTAAATTGATTGTAACATAACTGGAAATGTCACAATGAATTCCCATCCATGTGTAACTAACATATGCTAGTTAAATAAGAAAAAAAGAGGGCTGGGAAGGTGGCTCAGTGGTAGAGCACTTGCCTTGCATGTCTGAGGCCCTGGGTTCGATTCCTCAGCACCACATAAGCAAAAAATAAAAAGCCGGAAGTGGTGCTGTGGCTCAAGTGGTAGAGTGCTAGCCTTGAGCTGAAGAGCTTAGGGACAGTGCCCAGGCCCAGAGTTCAGACCCCACGACCGGACCAAAAAAAAAAAAAGAAAAGAAAAAAAGAAAGTTAGCCAGGCCCGGGTGGCTCACGCCGTAATCCTAGCTACTCAGGAGGCCGAGATCTGAGGATTGCCATTCAAAGCCAGCCCGGGCAGGAAAGTCCTTGAGACTTTTATCTCCAATAAACCACTAGAAAACCGGAAGTGGCGCTGTGGCTCAAGCGGTAGAGCACTCGCCTTGAGCTGAAGAGCTTAGGGATAGTGCCCAAGCCCAGAGTTCAAGCCCTGCAACCGACCAAAAAAAAAGGAAAGTTTACTAGACTCCATCTCCAAAATAACCGTGTGTGTGTGTGTGTGTGTGTGTGTGTGTATACATATATAGTATATATATTGTGTATATATATATATATATATATATATGTATATGGAAGGTTCTTTTTGTGTGTATGTGCCTATATTGGGGCTTGAATTCAGATCCTGTGCACTGTTCTTTAGCTTTTTTGTTCAAAGCTAGAGTTCACACCTCCACTTCCAGCTTTTTGCTGGTTAACTGGAGATAAGAGTCTCACAGACTTTCCTGCCAGGGCTGGCTTTGAACTGTCTTCTGAGTAGCTAGGACTACAGGTATGAGCCACCAGCTTCTGGCTAAGTTTGAATTTAGATAAATAATATTCTTTTTTTGTTTTTTTGTTTGTTTTTGGTTGTGGGTCTTGAACTCTGGGCCTGGGCACTGTCCCTCAGCTCTTCAGTTCAAGGACAGCACTACTTGAGCCACAGCGCCACTTCTGGTTTTCTCAATGGTTTATTGGAGATAAGAGTCTCATGGAGTTTCCTGCCTGGGCTGGCTTTGAACCTCGATCCTCAGATCTCAGCCTCCTGAGTAACTAAGATTACAGGTATAAGCCACCAGCACCTGGCTGAATATTCTTTCAGAGTAAGAATGTCCTATAGATTACATGGCATCAGTGCTAGAAAACAGAGAACCTTGCCTCTCAGACCCATGTTGTCAAGGGCCCAAAGGGATCCAGCTGTCATTAGTTACCTGGACAGTCTGATGATCACTTTCTTCTGGAAGGGCTGCTCCAGGACTCCATCCAGCAAGGTGGCCCACTGCACACTGAGGGCCAGCATAAAGAGGTTGAAGCCCATGCTACTCCAGCCATGCCTCCTCAAAGAGGTGGTGAGGAAGCCAAAGCCAAGAGCCGCCATGACAGTGAAATCCTGGAGGACTGCGGGGAGGAGAGGTAGAGGAGGAGAAGAGTGGGAAAGTCACACTTGAGGACAGGGATCACCCCAGAAGAGGGGAGGGGGTGCTCTGATATGATCTAGAATAGTCTGTGATCCAGATCAATTCGTGATCCAGGCAGTTTGTGCTCTAGAATCAGACACACTTTAACTCAAATGAGGACAGCTGGTACTTACTCGCTGTGTGGTCTTGATCTGCAATCTCTCTGAGCTTTAATAACTGCCTACATTTATTAAGTGTTTACCGTTTACCATGTATTAATAGTTTGCAATTGTTAAGCCTGGTTATCAGATTGATTGGAACACCAAGGAGATTAGTAAAACACACCTCTGGGAGGAAATGAGGGAGTTTCCATTCATTTGTGAGGGCTCTCACCTAGTCAACAGTTAATCCACTGAAGGCTTTGGAATCTGAGTACATTATAGGGAGTGGTAGAATTATGGAAGGTGGGGCCTAGCCGAAGGAAATGGCTCCTCAGGGGAGCCTTTGAAGAGTGTGTCAAGGCTCTTCCTGTTACTCCACTGTGCTTCCTGTCCACCATGAGATGACCAACTCTGTTCTTCCACATCCTCCCTGCCATGATGCTCTGCCTCACCATGGCCCAGCAACCAATAGAGCCAGCCAATCATGGACTAAAACCTCTGAAACAAGGGGCCAAAAAAATTCTTTCTCGCTGGGCGCTGGTGGCTCACGCCTGTAATCCTAGCTACTCAGGAGGCTGAGATCTGAGGATTGCGGTTCACAGCCAGCCCGGGCAGGGGAGACCGCAAGACTCCTATCTCCAATAAACCACCAGAAAACTGGAAGTGGCGCTGTAGCTCAAGTGGTAGAGCGCTCGCCTTGAGCTGAAGAGTTGAGGGACAGCGCCCAGGACCAGAGTTCAAGCTGCACGACCGACAAAAAAAAAAAAAAAATTCAAAATCTCTCTCAGGTATTTATAGCAGAATGAAAGTCTAATTCACAGTGTTTCAATATACCATCATTACAGTCATTGAGTAGGGTGGGAGCTACATCACCATGTTACAGATGTGAAAAACAAGACACCAAAGAGTTAGATCACTTGTACTCCCTGCGCCCACGCAGTCAGGTTTTATCTTAGTAGTCTGCATACGCCATACTCCTTCTTCCTGTCCCCATCTGTCCATTGGAAGAGTGAATACACTTTTGTTTTATGTGGTACTGAGGAATCGAACCCAGGGCCTCATGTATGTTAGGCAAACACTCTGCCATTAAGCCACATTCCCATCCCTGAATATACTTCTTGATCAGGTTGCCAGACCTCAATGGGATCACACACACACACACACACACACACACACACACACACACACACACACACACACACACAAGCTCAGGAGGGAACAAAATCACTAATTACTTTCACTCATGGATGGATGCCAGGAGAGAGATCCTGAAGGATTTCTGTCCTCTCATGATTCTCATCCCTGGGTTTGGGTAATTTTGATTTTCAGTGTTTAAACTGTCTGCAAGAAGCACGTAGACCATAAATGCTTTTTTTTTTTTTATTACACATCAGAAAAATAAAAAAAAATTAAAAAGAGCAGGGACTTTTGAGTTCCAATAGTTATGTTTGATTCCCAGACCTACCATTTGCTATCAGGTTACACCTGATTAAACTGCCAACCGCTGGCCATTTTTGACTTCCCAAAATGGCAGTTTATGTTTCTGCCTCATAACATTGTATGTTGCTTGCTCTCCTCATCAGCTCACAGGGCCAGTTGCTGGGAAAGCTGAAGGAAGTATATTTAGGTCAAGTTATTGGGTTTGGGGGTCTAGCGAACACTCCGTCATCAGGAGCTATTTATCATTATTAGAACGATTGCCGCATGGAGAGCTCACCCGCCTCTGCCTTCAGTCGTGGTTCTGCCGCTGTCAGGAAGCTCACATTACTGGAATCTCTCCAACATCTCAAAAAGTCCCTTTGGTGGACAGGGCCCATTCGAATTCCCTGCCACTGAAGAATACACCCCGGGTCTGGCACATTGGGCTAGGGTGGGTGCTGAAGTTCCAGATCACTTTGACTGCCCCAGGGTGTAGGAGGGCCCCCGAGGACTGCCATATGGGTTTGGGGGTGAGAACTGTACCAGGGAAGATTAGACTTTGCACCTTCTTCCCTGACTGGGGCGGGGGGGGGGGGGGGGGGGAAGGGTGGTGCAGGGGAGGCTTCGTCTCCTGCTGGCATATTTGTGGGGTGATGGTGGTAGCGCCAGGTGGGGCAGGGCACATTTTCCATAGGGGCTCCTTTGGGGAAGGGGAGGATTTCCTTCAGATTGCTGTAGGAGCCAAGCAGGAAATATTTATATGAAGAGGAAGAAGAGAATTAGGTCAGAGAATGGTATGCAGGGCGGGGGAGGGGGGACATCTTTATCAGCCAACCCCAATTCTAGGTATTGGGGTTCATAGCTTTGTCAACCCGCCCCCAAGGGAGAAATTGTATCTCAGCCAAGATGATAAAATTAGAGCCACAATCTCAAGGAGCTGCACACCCCTACACACACACACACACACTCACACACACACGGATCAGTAACTAACCTCTAGCCTCAGGTCCCCAGCCTCCTAACTCCACTTCCTCTCCAGCCCCCATGGGCTTTGGGCCAAGAACCCAAGAACTCATTCCTCTCACTCATTCCCTGTCTGCTCGACTCCCAGCCCCCCCCCCCCCCAGCCCCAGGGCATCTCCACTTGCGTCGGCCCTGCCTCTGGCAGTCTGCTTTCTCCCACTTTGGCCATTGGCTACAGATGTGATAAGCTAATGGGCCGCAAGGTGTTTAGAGGCGATAAGGGGGAGGGGAGATGTGTGCTACTAGGACAAGGCCCAAGGAGGGATTTTCCAGCCTTAGTGTGAAAGCCCTAGGTCTAAAAGGGGGTGGAGAGCTCAGTGGGGGAGGGGAGGTTATCATTAGAGCCACACAGGAGTCTCTGGGGAGGCCCTCCACCTTCTCCAAGTCTTCTTTCAGCATCTGGGGAACAAAAGGGGACCCTGGGGGCGCCCACAGCACTGGCCTCAGGACGCCCCCCACCATGGTAGCACTAGGGCAGGCTCTGTGTGGTAGATGGCTCCAGCAATAACCTCCAACGACACATAACTTCCAGTATACACCCCTGCCACTGAGTTTGGTCCTGTAATTGGCTTTAGTTAGTGGACATCTGTATGTATGTCACAAGCAGAGGCCTGATAAACGTCCCCACACTGGGGCTGCTTGTTCTCTCTCACTGAAGGAACATATCTGCTCCCATGTGAAGAAGTCTGGGAGGGTTTTCTAGACTCATTGGCCTACTTACCAGTTGGCACCAAACTGCCAGACATGGAATGAGGCTGAATGAGGCCATCTCAGCCCAGTCAAACCTCCACGCTAGAGATGCATGAGTGACCCTAGTAAAACCAGCAGAAGAACTGCTCAGGCTGAGACTCATCCACTGTGAGCTATTGAATCATGGTCGTGAATAAATTAAATGGCTGCTATTTTTGGTTAGGGATAGTTGTTACTCAGCAATAGCTAGCTGAAACACTGTTTGCCCATAAGCATTTCAGGACACTTCAACTCCCATCACCTCACTCCCATCAGTACCTGCTGAGGAGAGAAGAGGAGAGGAGCTAAGGAGGGCTAACATGGTAGCTCATTCCTATAATCCCAGCTCCTTGGAAGTGGGAGTCAGGATTGATGTTTACCTTAGTTAGAGCAAAAAGACATCGAGACCCATTTCAGAAATAAAATGGACATGCTAATTCATGCTTATAAGTTCAAGTCCCAGGACTATGATGAGGAATGGATTTAGATGTACTACTGTCAGGAGTAACAATAGATTCTGCTAAACACTGACACCATATGATGAGTAGTTTGAAAGCATCATATATTTCATTTTTTTCTTTATTTATTGTGTGTATGTGTGCTGGTTCTTGAACTCAAGGCCTAGACACTGTCCCTGAGTTCTTTGCTCAAAGCTAACAATGTTCCACTTGAGCCACAGCTCCACTTTTGGCTTTTTGCTGGTTAATTGGAGATCAGAATCCTAGGGACTTTTCTACCTGGGTTGGTTTTGAACCGCAATGCTCAGATCTCAGCCTCCTGAGTAGCTAGTATTACAGGGCTAAACTATGCTATTTTATATAAAGAACTTGAGCTAGGTGCTGGTGGCTCACACCTGTGATCCTAGCTATTCAGTAGGCTGAGATCTGAGGATCATGATTTGAAGCCAGCCTGGGCAAGAAAATCCCTGAGACTTATCTCCAATTAACCACCAGCAAACCAGAAGTGCTGCTGTGGGTCAAGTAGTAGAGCTTTATTTAGCCTTGCGCACAAAGAGGCGCAGGGACAGCTCTGAGTTCAAGCCCAGGATGGGCAAAAATAAAACACTACATATATAATGCTATATAGATACATATATTTTTTATTTTTTCACAGGTTCTTACTCTATGGTCTAGGCTAGTCCCAAACTCCTGGGCTCAAATGATCCTCCCTCAGCCTTCCAAGTAGCTGTGACTACAGGCATACATCCTGGGCCCGACATATTAATATAGTTATACTTGAAGACAGTGCAAGAATGTGGCATGTGCTGCACACGTGTGCACAGGCAGCACACTGCAGGCCTCTGCTTTGTATTTCACCACAGTGTCCAGAGAGGTGTCATGCCCAAGCCCTGCGATGGCTTTCTGCACGAGCCAAATCCAAGCTCCTCAGACGCCTGCTTCTGGTTAGCAGAATAAATGCCAAATTCCTTTTTTACCCCACCCAGCGGTCCACCATGCCCTGCCTCCTTCCTGTACACCGGGGACACACTGCAGTGTCGCACTGTTGAGCCCCAATAGTCTGCTCTAGTGTGGGCATACACAAGGGCGGCTGCTGGGCTTCACCTTGTCTGCCTACCTTAGTGGTGGATGCCATTCTGTGCTTCCACTGAAAGTGAATTACAAACCAAGAACGCGTGGTTCATACCCATAATCCTAGCTAGTCAAGGGGCTGGGAACTGAGGATCTCTGTTCAAAGCTAGCCCAGGCAGAAAAGTCTGTGAGACTCTTATCTCCAATTAACCACCCAAAATCCAGAAGCAGAGGTATGGCTCAAGTGGTAGAACATCAGTCTTGAGCAGAAAATGCCAGTGGGAATGAGAGGCCCCAGAACTGGCATCACACACACACACACACACACACACACACACACACACACACACACACACACACACACACACACACTTCTACCATGTTTAACAGTACAGTAGAGGCAGAAAGAACCTGGTGCCAAGCTACAAGTTTGGCACAAGTTTGTGACTCCCACAAACTTGTGACCCTATCCTACTGTGAAGTGGGCCTCGTAACACAGTGCGCAGAAACTCACCAGAAGGCTGCAGTGATTATAGAAGAACCTGCTGGATGGGCTTGGGGGTCCCTGACAGAGCTCTCTGCATGACAAGTGCTTTCTATGGCAAGTGCTCCATAAATACCAGCGGTAACCCCTAATCCTCAGGTGTCTGGACCCCACACTGGATGGAACAGTGGTGGAGAGGGGAACAAATGTACACACTGCACTAGAATGGATGTTGCACTGGATTTTAAAGAATGACAATGGCATGCAATGAAAGTGATGCTTAGAGGTCTTGCTAGACCAGCACTGAGAGGTGGCCATGCGCTGTCCCGCTTGCTTCCCTACACCCATCATAACTGTCTTGGTTGTCTCTGCGAGGGGCCCATTGGATGCTGCCTCTCTGCTCTTGGCTAACTAGCTGTCCCCATCCCTTAGGAACAAGCAAGCAGGCTCAGGCTTCGGCTCTGTCTCATGGACATTCCTCAGGCAGCTCCATTCTTTATCCTAAGTAACCTAGAGCTTGCTGAGATGCCTTGTATTTTTTTTTTTTTTTGGAAGCAAAGTTATACCACTATGGACATCTGTCTTGTTTATCGTTGTTCCCATCACAGTCTGGAGATATTTTTAGCTGTGTATAAAATAACCACCATCCTACACTCCCCTTCATTTCTTCTGGCTCTGGTTTTGTCGAGAATCTGACTTCCCCACCGGAAAGGAGAAAGGAAGTCCTTGCCACAAAGGAGAGCAAAGTGGGGGAAGGCAGAGAAGCAAAGAATTAGGGAGACCATGTAGCCAGGAATACGGGGACCATAGGAAGAAATGATGGCCAGGCTGTCCCCCCCTCCAAGAACTTACATTGTCAGGAGGAAGGGGAGGGTCCTTTTTCCTAGAGAATGTTCTAGAAAACGAGATCCGTGCCCTTGAGGAACTACAGACACTAACCCCCCTGCCCCCCACATCCCCTGCACATGCCTCTGTGAACCTCACCTTGGTAGGTCTCCAGGATCTTCTGCTCCCCTGAGGGCACATCATAGGAGGTGAAAAAGGCAAAGATGAGAATGAAAGCCACCTCCAGCGTCAAGGCCCACGGGGGCAGCCAGCAGCGCACAGACCGGGGGTACTTGGAGCCCATTTCCAGTTCCGTCTATGCCAGGGTTCTGCTAGTGCCGGGCCTCACCCTTGTCCCCTACACCCACTTACAGACTCAAGGGAGCGATAGGGGAAACACCCGCCAAAGGCCTTATCTCAGGCACTGCTGGCTCCTCAGCCTGCCTATGGAGTTTACACAGAAGAGGGGCTTGGCTGCGGAGGGAGGCAATGCATGTATTCAATAGCATTAATTCATTCAGCAAGTCCCTGTTGGGAAATGCTCACGTGCACAGTTTAAACTTACCTTTCTTCTTGTTCCTTCAGTTCATCCTCACCATATCCTAGTAAGAAGGGCCAGGACTGGGGCTGGGGGCAGGACTCAGTGTCAGAACACCTGCCAAGCATGTACAAAGCCCTAGGTTCCATTCCCAGCACTGGAGAGAGGGAGGCAGGCAGGGAATAGATCAACATTTCACAAAAGGGGAAACTGAGGCTCGAGAGTTTTTAGATTGGCAAAGTTTCTTTTTAAAATCATATCTCACAATCACTGAGTGTTGAGGGCTCATGCCTATAACTTCAATTAGGAAGCTGAGATCTGATGATTGTGATTTGAAGCTAATCTAGACAAAAAATTCTGTGAGACTCTTACCTCCAATTATCCATCAAAATAAAAGCTGGAAATTGAGCTGTGGCTCAAATGGTAAAGTGCCAGCCTTGAGCAAAAAAGGTAAAGAAAGTGAACTGGCCCTTAATTTAAGTCCAGTAGTGGCACACAAAGAGAGTCTTACTCTTAAAGAGTGAGGGTACCCAGGGAGATCTTGTCAAGAATACACTGAGCTGGGTGCCAGTGGCTCACATCTGTAATTCTAGCTACTTGGGAGACTGAGATCAGGAGGACTGCAGTTTAAGGCCAGCCCAGACAAAAAAGTTTTTGTGTCAGTAGTGGGGTTTGAACTCAGGGCCTCATGCTCTAACATGGCTTTTTCTGTTCAAGGCTAGTGCTCTACCATTTGAGCCATATCTCCACTTTGGCTATTTGCTGTTCAATTGAAGATAATCTCAGATTTGTCTGCCAAGGCTGACTTCAAACTTCAATCCTCAAATATCAGTCTCCTGAGCCATTAGTGCTTGGCCTGATTTTTCCTTCCTTCCTCCCTCCCTTCCTTCCTTCCCTTCCATTTTTTAAATACATTTTTATTGCAAAAATACTGTACAGAGGGGTTACAGTTACAAGAGCAAGGTAATGAGTACATTTCCTATCAAGCATTGTTGCCTCCTCCTTTGTTTTTCCACTACCATCCCTTCCCTCCCACCCCCTTTCCTTTCTCTCCTCTCTCTCTCTCCCCCCCTCTCCCTCTCTCTTTCCTTTGTTAGTCCTGAGGCTTGAACTCAGCACCTGAGTGCTGTCCCTTAGGTTTTTTGCTCAGGGCTAGAGCTCTACCACTTGAGCCACTCTCCACTTCTTGCCTTCTTGTGGGTTCACTGGAGATACAAGTCTCATGGACTTACCTGCCTGAGCTGGCTTCAAACCATGACCCTCAGATCTGTCTCGTGAGTAGCTAGGATTACAGGTGTAAGCCACTGGCACTTAGCTTGATGTTTTTAAAGCAAGGCCTATGTGAGGAATTAATGTCCTTTTTTCATTAATGTCCTTTTTTTTTCTTTTTCTTTTTGTCAGTCATGGGGCTTGAACTGGGCTGGGTGCTATCCCTGAGCTCTTCAGCTCAAGAGGAACACTCTACCACTCTGAGCCATAGCGCCACTTCCAGTTTTCTGGTGATTAGTTGGAGATAAGAGTCTCACAGACTTTCTAGCCGGGCCTGGCTTTGAACCTTGATCCTTAGGTCTCAACCTCCTGAGTAGTTAGGATTACAGGTGTGAACCACCAGCACCCAGCTCATTAATGTCCTTCATAGTCATAGATGGATAATAGAAAGATAGAAAAATAGATAGATAGATAGATAGATAGATAGATAGAATTAATTCATGCTGGTTCCAGTAGCTTGATTGCAGGTGTATGCCACACACTTGGATTGAGAACAAGAACTTCAGTCTGTGGTTACTGCTATACCTTTCAACCAGATGCTCAGTCTGTAGTAGGTGCTCAGGAAATATTTGTTGAATGAATAACAGCTCCCATTTCCAGAATAGCAAATGCTGGAGCAAGCATTTTACTCTCATTAAACCTTCCTCCTAAGCCTATGAGGGCAGATGTCATTACCCCTGTTTTACTGATGAAAAATATGCTGTTCAGAGAGGTGATCCAAGTCCCAAAGTCACACAACTAATAAATGGCAGAGCTGAGATCCAACCCAGACACATCTGATGCCATAGCTGAGCTATCAATTACTTCACAATTCTGCCTCCCAAGTCACTAGCACACCACTGTCTCAATACTCTTCTGAGTCTATTAAGATGACCTGCTTTGCTTCCACCCAAGATTATTACAGATGTGAAAGCATGACATGCCCAGACGATCTGAGCTATAGAAGTGAGGAGCTGATCTGAATGACCAGGCTTCCTGAAGCAAGTCAGAACCCACAGCCTTTTCATGTAATCACACCTCTTCTTTCAAACCAGAGCTCTGTAAGTACAAAGCGCTACTGCTGTTGTCATGGTGTTGTACTAGGCTTACCTGGTAAACATGGGGTTAGGTCAGTCCTTCCTTTAGAGTCAGACAATCTGGGTTCAAATCCTGTCTCCATGATGTTCAGCTGTAGCCAGCCACTGGTGGTGGTTCACATTTGTAATCCTAGCTATTCAAAAGGCTGAGATCTGAGGACCTCATGAGGTTCAAAGCAACCACAGGCAGCAAAAAGGCTGCTAGAGTACCAGCCTTGAGCAAAAAAAAAAAAGCTAAAGGACAGCACCCAGGACGGGGCGCGCGCGCGCGCGCGCACACACACACACACACACACTATTAGCTGTGTCACCTTGGGCAAGACACTCAAGTCTCTCTGAGTCTGTTTCTCAGCTGTAAAGTGGAAGACAGAAAACTGAATATGCAAAGATGCATACAGCTTACATAAAGTGTCTAGACTTTAATATCTCTATCACCAGCACTGCTATGATGCTTTGAATCTGAGATGTCCCCCAGAGGCTTGGTGGCTTTGGTTGTCACTGGTGAACCTTGGGGAAGTGACTGGATCCCAAGGGCTCAGTGATCAGTCCATTGATGGAATCATAATTGGGTGGTAGTGTTGGGAGTTGTGGAAATAGGAAGTGGGGCCTGGTTACTGGAAGGTCACGGGATATGACTTTGAAGGGTAGACCTTGGGTGCAGCCTCTCCGGCCCTGTCTCTGCATCTGGCTGAGATGGTAGAAGCAGCCCTGCCTGGATGCTCTTCTTAACCATGGCCTACAGTAATGGAGCCAGCCCACTCTGGACAGAATCCTGAAACTCTGAGAACAAAATCCTTCTCCCTGGAAGCCGTTTGCCTCCATATTGTGTCAGATGAGAGCGTTTGAATATGTATCCTGTCAGTTGTTTTTATGTGGATTGGTGTTCTGCCTCCCACCCCCACCCCCAATGGGACTGTATCGTAGCTTGCTGTTTTACCCCATCACAGTGTATTATCATGAGCAGTTTCCATGCCAGAAAAATCCTACAACACTTTGCATGATGGCTGAGAGCTCGAGCTTTGCCAGTGGACTGCCTGGATTCTATCTATCTATCTATCTATCTATCTATCTATCATTATTATAAAGGTGATGTACAGCTGGGCACTGGTGGCTCATACCTGTAATCCTAGCTACTCAGGAGGCTGAGCTCTAAGAATCCCAGTTCAAAGCCAGCCTGGGCAGAAAAAAAATGTGTGAGACTCTTATCTCCAATAAACCACCAGAAAATGGGAAGTGGCTCTGTGGCTCAAGTGGAGCGCTCACCTTAAGCTGAAGAACTCAGGTACAGCGCCTAGGCGGAGTTCAAGCCCCATGACTGACCAAAAAAAAAAAAAAAAAAGGTGATGTACAGAGGCATTAGTTTCATGTCAGGTAATGAGTAAATTTCTTTTCGGACAATGTTACCTCTTCCTTCACTCTCTCCCAGTGGAATCAATCTTGACATTTTCTTTCACTTGCTGTGTGAGCTTAGGCAACTGATTGAGCTCTCTGTGCCATAACTTTCTCATCTGCAATCCTGCAATGTTGATAAAGTGACACTGGGGGGGGGGGCAAGGATAAAGAAACTCTGCAAGCTCAATGTTAACTCAGGCCTTCCATTCATTCAGAAAGGACATGAACAGAATGCTCTAACTGGAACGGCAAAAAAGCCTTCAGCTGCCAAAACAGATTGGTTTATGGAAGGACCCAAATCAATATGATCAGAGAGGCTTGGATGCATTAGTGTTAGTAATAAAGATTAAAATAAGATGTGCATGTATGGTATTTGGAACAGAGACTGTGATAAATATTGTGTATAATTTATGAGACTACACTGACTTCCACGGTAAGGTTGTATGAAACTCTGATCAGCCCTCTTCAGAGGCTATCTGGGCTGTTTCCAAACTGTTCTAAACACTATGGTGAGCATCTTCCAAGGATAAGAGTTCTCTGAAGGATACAGGCACATGTATGTTAGCCCTCCCAGAAGCTGGAGTTTTCTGTGATTGGTTGAGAAACACAGTTTAAGGCAGCTGGGTTGGCCAGCCAGAATGCACACTTCCTTACTTGTGAAATGGAAGCTCTCCACAGGGCTGTTTTGGAGCTCAGCTGTACAAATCCCATCAGTAAGTCCCAGGAGGAAGGACAGATCTAAATTCCCACCTTGGCCTTGATCTTTTGAATGAGAGTAAATGATTTCCCTTGTGTTTTACTCACCGATGCAATCAGTGGAGGCTGCTGGTCCCCTCTGCTTCCCGAGGAGCAAGGGGTGCGCCCGTCAGTCTCAGGTGAGCCCATGTTTGTGCTCTTAGGAACCCAAGTGGCCATCTCAAGACTCAGGGGAAAAGCTGGTACCCAACTAGAGCCAAAGGGCTTCAGTGAGGATAGGCCAGGAAAAAGCAGGTGATCTGGAGAAGAATATGAGAAGGCAGTTCCATTCAGGTCTGTCCTTAGACTCTCGGTAGGAAGGTCATCTTCATCATCCCACCCCAACCCGA